TTGAACGGCGCCACCCGCTATTGCCGCATCACTAACATATCACTGAGGTGTACGGAGTATTGTTTTTTTGATTCTTTTAGTGCCCCCTTTTGTTTTGGTCTCTCTTTTTAAATTTTGTTTGGGTCCAGCAGTCTGTCTGCATTCTGCACCAGCGCCTTAGACTTTGTTTGAAGAAACGGGCACAACTACCTGATGGGTTGAAGGCCTATCAGCCTGACCGAGAGCGCCTTGGATTCAGCTATACCAAATCTTGGTCTCAAATCGACCGGACAACTCTCACCTCCGATTTGTCAACCCTGCAGTCTCGGGCCTCCGAGGCCGCATGAATCAATATTCGTTATTTGAGTTTTGGTCGCTTTATTTATTTGTGATGCCTGGACTCAACCAAAACATGACAAGGATGCTCAAGGAAGCAACAAATGCCACCAACGCATTATAAACCATTAGCGGATTAAAAAATCGGCTAAACACAATTGGCTAATGACGTCATTTAAGATACAAGGAACAGCTGCAAGGTCCGCCGCCATTGAGGGACACTGCACTTTGACAACTAAATGCCACTTGGATTATTTCAAAAGGGAAAGGAGGCGTCAGATCCTTATCTCTTGGTATCGAAAAGGCTTGTTCTCTACTGCATTCAAACATGCCCTTATCTTGATCAACTTCATGCAGTCCAAATATAGAACATGGGGTCGAAGCAAACACTCCAAATAAGGGCCCTGGCCGGCGATCTCCTGCAGGTCAAGGTTCTCTAAACCTCTGAACAGGGGATACACATACAAAATGGGGCTTCCCAGGAAAATCTGTCCTTCTCGAATGCCTAAAACTCTTCTGTGCATTGTTCGGAGGGTGACATTCCGCCCAGCCTCTACGTTCCAACCCACATTCCGGACCGTCTATCACTAACAGGGCATTGACCAATCGACAACATCCCCCACCCCAATTGGATCAATTGGCTAATCATGATGAAGCAAATGAAAGAAGTATGTAGCCAGAGTGCACGGCCGATCATACTGTCACCCAAGTCGAGTCTTCTTCGGGCGGTTGATGATGATGGGATAACAAGTATCATGACGCTTACATTGCAAGTACCAACCTTGGAACTCGACAGATGATCATCCTTCTGCCACAGCCGTATGGCTGGTCCTGGTTCCTTAGCCCATCCTGAACGGCTCGGAGAGCGTTCCGACCCATTTCCTTTCCTAACGGCCGTGCTCTTACAAGTTATGCCGATCTCCAATTAAATGTATCGGGTCAACATGCCTAAGTTCTCCCCAGACCCACTTCACCAGCTCATTTGAGGACTGTTCTACTGCTTCTGGCTTAGTGAAGGAGGGTTGCATTCCCGTGGGTGGCTATCCGGAGCGAAACCTCTTCGGGAGTTCACGAAGATTGACAGCTCGCCCAGCCATTCATATTTCCGCAGCTACGATTGGCTTAGAGAGGGTTGAATCATTCTTCTGGGAGGTTGGTGGGGCCGGCCAGGAGCCAACCGGGCCCTCTATAGCACATTCCTTGTCCATCTTTAGAGCACCTGGAATGTGTCCAAAAATTCCGAGGCTGGTGTCCCTGGCAGCCATTCAAATAGGGCCTGCATCTGTTTGTTTGCTTTGCTTTCTTTGCATCATCTGCAGTGTTTTCTTTGATTGACAATCTATCAAACATTCAAACAATCAAACACTTCTTCTTTATTTGCATCCTTTGCACTTCTCGGATATCCGGGTCAATCCTCCCGAACTATTCCCAAACCTTCCCAAGCTCTATTCCAAGACCATATCTTTGGTTGTCCAATCACATCCAAGTCTTTGGATATACAGTCGCTGACTACACTATCGCCCCGTACTTTTGCTTTGTCGCCGCAAACGGAAACCCGACAAGATGTTCGCCCAACCATACGACCATTCGTTCAATGACTTGTTCAACCAATACGTCAACATGGAGAATAGTGCCGCTGATGGAAAAGATTCGGCATTGTCCGATTTTGATCAGCTTTTCCCGCTTGACTCGCTATCCAGTGACTGTGGCGATCTTCCACCTACTGTCTCCACTCCCAAACGCCATCAATCACCGCAACCCTGGAGTAATGAGTGGTCCCTGCAGAATGACGGGCCCGCCGTCGATCCTTTTGCTTTCCATGACACCGTCCACCCCTCTGCAATCTCAGATATCAACCTGAACAACTTCGAAGTTCCTTCTCGCCCTACAGCAACCCACGGCCTATCTACATCGCCTTCCACTCCTCCCGCTACCCCTAGACGGAAGCCTACCCGGAGTGCTCTGATCACTCCCAAGTCTATCCGCCATCGCAGCCCGAATGAGCGTCGCTCTCATTTGCGCAAGCAAAGTTTCTCCCCCAGCCTAATGCGCTCTTCCAACCTATCCAAAGCAAGAATGGCCTATCCTGAGGTTTGGGCCCAGCAAATCCAGAACTTCAGTCTTCACAGTTCTGAAGATCGTCTGCCGCTGTCGCCTCCTCCCTCGGACGTCCTCATTCAGCATGAAAACATGCCTACCGAGCAAATCATGAACCAACCTAGAGACTCAGCAGAGATGCCTCCTCAGTACGACGCAAGACTATATCACCAGTCTCCCTCAGTTTCAATGCCATCGCCGAATATTGCAATGTCGGCACGGCAGCAACAGCACTACATTGCCCACCCAAGCTCCTCCACCTTGACCAACTCCAGCCCTTCTTCTGCAGATGATATGTTCTCCTCGTCTCACTCATCTGACCCCCACTCTCTCTCCTCTTGGCAATCCGACTCTCTTCATGCCTCCTCTCTCTCTTTCACTCCAGACCTCCAAGGCCAAGATTCTCAATGGTGGTCCCCCATGCCTTCTCGGGTCGCTCAACAACAGGCCTCTTACCTCACATCTCCCACGCCTGTCCGCACCACGCAAAGCGTTGGTAGCCAAAATGATATTATGCAAGGAGGACTCATGATCCAATTCAATCCTTCCTACGACATGTCGGCGGAACACCCATTCTCATCATCTAATATGCTCCCCGCCACCTCTCAAAAATTCGACACCTCCTTCACCACTTCCCAAGTTCACAATGTCTCCCGTTCACCATCTCTCTCTCCCAAGGCCGGCACATCACCCCGGGACACCCACAATGGATCCATTTCCAAGCCCACCCATCGCCGCACACACAGCCGCAAGCTCTCCGGCCAGAGCATGAATGCTCCCAAGCCCGCCAAGGCATCTGGCTCCTCGTCCCGAGGCTCAAACAAGTCTGTCAGCGTATCGTTCGTCAACTTTACCGCTCACGACAGCAAGAAGATCCTGACCGGAGTTGCTCCCTCCGGCAGCTCTAAGACCAAGGCTCGCCGCGAGCAAGAAGCCCGCGATAGACGTCGCAAGCTGAGCGAAGCCGCATTGAGGGCTGTGCGCAGCGCTGGCGGCGACGTCGAAGCTCTCGAAGCCGTTCTCTGTTAAGCTTGTTTTTGTTTTTGTTTGATTTTTACTTCTGCTTCTTTGTCTCTGTTTCTTTCAGCCGGTGTTTTAAGGTTATATCATTGGGAATATCTGGTTTGCTTTCGGTGTATACGGTTTTGCTTTCAGGCCTGGGCCCGGGTGATTACACCCCCAAAATGTTAGACTATTCTAATATCTAGACTCTTCTGTGGATATCTAATTCATAATAATTTGTGACTATCCAACTTCCACTGTAAACTCTTCTTTTTTTCTTTTTTCTTGCGCTTCAGGAATTTCGAGAGATCCATCTTCACCATAATGGTGAGCTTAATCCTTTCTTTTTCAACCCTGCTACTATCATTAGCACTGACTTTCTGTGGCTGACTTTATTTCTTATACTGAGTTCTCCATATACAGTCCTCCACACACGCCCTCCACACATCAAGCCCTCCATACATCAAAACCCTCCATACATCAAGCCCTCCATACATCAAACCCTCCATACACCAAGTCCTCCATACCCCGTGTCCAATTCTCTAAGTCCTACATATCTATGACTTTGAAGACTACCCGCGCGCGCGATTCATACTCCAGTGCCGACTATAAATACCATCCCAAGCAATTTCTTCTTCTTTCTTCTTTCTTCTTCACGATACATACAAACAGCTCTGGTGAGTACGAACTTTACTTCCTTACACTGAATTACCCTTTATACCCTTCAACTGCATGTCAGTACCTATGATGCTGGCAGATTGAGCACTTCCTGCATCTCACTCTCATTGCATACCATTTACCTTTGATTTCACCAATTTTTCACTTATCTTTCATTTGCATTTCTCACTTACTGCTTTCACTATATCTCACTTTTTGCCCATTGATTGCTACATATCTTTTACCCCAAGCCCCAACTTGCCACCTCATTGAGATCAGGTATTTTGCCTTCATTTGCTGATCCTAGTCCATTCTGATATTCTCATTTGCTGCTGCCCATTTTCTTTTTCCTGGTCTACCTTGATTTCCATTTCTCTTCTCTCAAAGACTTTTCCTTGAACCATCATCAATCTCTTTTCATATCCCTACCTGCATAAGATATTCTATCACTACGTTCTATCCTGCATCTTCATTGAATCACCACTGCCATTGCCATTGCTATTCTCATTGGCATCGCTCTTGGCTGTGGGTTGAGCTATTTGCCTTGTTGCATTGCTTGCCCTACATTGCCCGTTGCTCTGCTGCATCGGTCCGTCTTCACATCACCATCTCCATACATCTCAACAATCTAATCCTTCATCGTTATTGACTCATTTTAACAGATCAAAGCAGCAAGACCTACCTTTTTCTTCTCCCTTTTTACAAAAAGGGAATCTGCGGTGGACAAGATAACGCTTGTCCCATTGTGAAGTTTTTTCTTCTGTTCGTCCTGTTGTTTTCGAACCTCTCTGGAAATACCCAAATAACTGGGGTTTTCGAGTCCTTGTCGCCACTTACCTGACTCTCCATCACGCGCAAAGTTCGCATTCTCACTACATCAATTTCTACCTTTTCGACTACCTTTTTTTCTCCAACCAGCATTCGCTAAAATGTCTGGTCGTGCTCACGGTGATCTGCCCATTCACGGCGGCCGTGGTGGTGATCGTGGCGGCTCTCGTGGCCGCGGTGATCGTGGCTCCAGTAGCCGTGGCAGTGACCGCGGTTACAGTGGTGATCGGGGCCGTGGAAGTGATCGTGGCGGTAGTCGTGGGGGTCGTGGCGGCTCCGAACCGCCCTCCGGGTAAGTTTATATATTCTACATCAAGGGGAAATTATATCTAACATACACACAGAATGTTGACGGACCCAATTGAAGCTCCCAACGCGCGCGTACATGCTTTGGAGGACCGCTACGTTGTAGAGTCCGCAAAGGCTCGCCCAGAGTCCGGCTCTTTGGCTCGGCGTCCTGGCTACGGTACCCAAGGTCGTCCGATTGTGCTTCGTGCCAACTTTTTTCTCATGGAGTTCAAGCCAAACGTCAAGTTCCATTCGTATCGACTAAAAATCAAGCCCGAGCCGAAGAAAGGGCAGCAAATGTTCGTCCTTCAGAGTATGTTCCGCAAATACCCTCTCTTCAACAAAGGAGTCGGCATTGCCACTGATGGGGCCACCGAGATTGTTACGACTGAACTATTCCCAAATAATCGAGAGCCGTTCGTTTGTTCCATGGGCGGTGGAAGTGGCCAGGGGAGTTCAAGATCGAAAGCTTACACCGGCCCTTGGGAGGCCACTCTGACTCTCGAAAGCTCTTTTTCCCCAGTTGACATGATGACGTGCCTTGAGGACGTTAGCCACCGAGGGGAAATTGAGAATGAGTCGCCCTGTCTCCGAGTACTGAACATCCTCATGAGTGCTTATCCCTACCGAGATTCCAGCGTCGCCATCATCGGCAAAGGACGAAACAAATTCTTCCGGATGGACAGGCGAAAGCAGTCAATGGAGATGAGGGGTGGCGCTGAAGCTGTTCGTGGTTACTACTCAAGTGTCCGTCTTGGAGCTGGACGAATCTTCCTCAATTTAAATGTTAGTCACGGCGCATTCTTCAATGAATGTCTGTTGTCTGATATACTCATTGCCTTTGTCCAAATTTACGGAAACGACCGGAAACTTATTGGCCGGTTCCTGAAGGGTCTGAAAGTCCACGCCTTGCATCTGGAAGCTCGAGAGAACGGTTCTGGGGTCAAGGAAAAACCAGTCCGAACAATCTTTTTTGTTGCCACTCCTGAGGATGGATGCAATGGCCCCAACCCCCCACGGGTTGTACGTGAAGCATCTAGTGCCGACAACGTGCAGTTCTGGATGGGAGATGAGAAAAAGGGAAAATACGTGACTGTTTCCGAATACTTCTACAAAAGTATGTTTGCTGCCTATTAGTCGATATTTGTGGTGGACTGTGCTAACAAGAAATAACAGCTTACAATAAGAAACTCAAGTACGCCGGTGATATGCCAATCGTGAACGTTGGAACCCGTGATCGTCCAGTTTATCTTCCTGCGGAGGTTTGCGAAGTCCTCCCTGGGCAACCTTTCAGGCCAGAGCCATCCACTCTCCAAAGACAGAACATGATCAAGTTCAGTTGCCGGCGACCTCCTCAGAACTATGCCTCCATTATGACCGAGGGATTGGACATCCTGGGAATATCTGAAGGACATACCAAGGCGGTAGGCATCAAGCCCGGCAAGGAGATGATCACTGTATCTGCCAGGATTTTGAACCCGCCGAATCTGCTTTACGGCGGCAAGAAGACCACTAACCCTCGAAATGGCTCGTGGAATTTGATTAATACCAAATTCTCCCAGGGCGCCAGCATCGGCAAATGGACCTGTCTTTGGCTTCGGAAGCGCGGTAAGGATATAGAGGAAGTCCTTAAAGATCCTGAATTTGAGATGGACGCGTTTTACAGGAAATTGCGCGACCATGGCCTGTCGCTTCCGCCGCCCTCCAAACCGTATCTCCAAGTGCTTCTCGGTTCAGATGATAGAGACAATCGAGAAATGATTAAGGAGGCATTCAAAAAGATCATGAAAGAGTTTCCCTTCTTGGTTGTTTTGCTTCCTACCACAGAAGGGAAAATCTTTGATTACGTCAAGTATGCCGGAGATCTTAAGACTGGCGTCCTTACGCACTGCATGCTGAGTACTAAGTTCAAAGGTGCCAATGAGCAGTATTTGAGCAACAACGCCATGAAGGTCAATCTCAAGATGGGAGGATGCAACCAACTTCTGCAGCCGGCGAACGCACGCTTCATTGGCGCAGCGAAGAACACCATCGTCGTTGGCTTGGATGTTACTCATCCGTCGAGCACAGACCCCGAAATCTTCCCCAGTGTTGCTGCCATCGTTGCCTCCACTGATTATCGCATGGGACAATGGCCCGGTGAGGTTCGAGCCCAGACGCGCCGCCAAGAAAGCATTGAATTCCTCAAGGAGATGATGCTCACCCGGCTGAACTTGTGGCAAAAGTCCAACAGCGGCAACTTGCCTCAGAACATTCTCGTGTACCGCGACGGTGTTAGTGATGGTCAGTTCGCTATGGTCCTTGTAGATGAACTTCCAAAGATTCAAGCGGCTGCCAAAGCGGTATACCGTGGAGCCATGCCAAACATCACCATCATTGTCTGCGGAAAGCGCCACAATGTGCGCTTCTACCCTACCAATGCGAAGGACCAAGATCGAACATCCAACCCAATCAACGGGTGTATTGTTGATCGCGGAGTCACCCGTCCTATCTTCTGGGACTTCTATCTGCAAGCCCAGGCTCCTCTCCAGGGTTCTGCCCGTCCAGCTCACTACATTGTCATCCACGACGAGATCTTCACCAACCCGAAAGTCAATACGGACCGCAAGCCTGCTGACATGGTGCAAGAACTTACCCACAGCATCTGCTACCTGATGGGCCGGGCTACTCGCTCGATCAGTTACAGTACTCCTGCCTTCTTGGCTGATAAGTTCTGTGATCGTGCCCGGAAGTATCTGTTGGCTTACTACTATGAGAACAACCAGCAAGTCCATAATGAAGATAAATTCAAAGGTTCTACCTTGAATATGGCGAGCGCATGCCAGAACAGCATGGTCTACATCTAACCTGACCATTGTCATTTGCTATTTTCTTGTTGATGTTTGACGATTTTTGCATCTTTCCGGCGTCTGGAGTTCCATTGATACCCTTTTGCTAGACTCTGTTGTTCTTCAAATTGTTCTTTCAAATTGTTTTTGAGCTTTGATGTTTGCAATGACTTATCTTGTTGAGCTGGAAGATTGCTCATGATGTGAAAGCTACGAAAAACCACAAAACGACCAAAAAAAGGTGCAATGTCCTTGCTTTTCTTACAAGCTTGAGGTGTGCCTATACTACAACAAATGTGGAAAATTGAAAAACACAAAAAAAGAGGGATGGAGGATTTGTTTGCATGAAACCAGCATGCATTTGCTTTATTGATTTTATTGCAATATCTTTGCTTGTCTTGGGGTGACACTTGCAGTGCAGCCTGAAAAATATAGAAAAACCAAAAAAAGGGGATGTTATATGTTAGAGTATGAAAATTAAAAATATTTAAACAAAACCGTCCATGTACCTGTGTAGCCACTAGGATTATTGTTAGTATAACTGTAAGAACCGAGAAGATCCTAGTAGATGATATGATTGAGTGGAAAACGCTGGATAACGAAGAAGCATAGTATACAAGTGCCAATATATATGGCTCTGATTATGTTGAAGCCCCCATGACAGCTTGGGCCACACCTGTGACCTATGAGGTCGAACACAGTGCATAATGAACCTCTATCCTTATACAGCAAGGAGAGCGGGAGGAGTTCAAAGACTCTTCGACATAAGATAGCCTCAATGCCATCTATGACCCGGAGTTCCATGCAAGATGTTTGTGCTGATGAATTGACCATTGTTACAAGGCGACAGCCTTCCATACCCCCCGGCACATGTCTCTGAAAGTCAAGCTTATATAGAGTATCGTGAAAAAAATGACCAAAATAAGTCGTTATCACCTTTCACCGCTTGGAACTAGGAGACCACGCTTCAGGCTGCCACTCCTCACCTGGGTTGGTCTTTTTCGCCTTGGCCCATGGGTTCTCCTCCTTTTGTGTCTTCGGTTCTGGTGTGGGTTTGGCCTTCGGGGCTGTTTCGCGGGATGCGGTTGAAGCCGGTATTTTTTGCGCGGGATCAGCTTTGGCGGGCTGATTCAAAGTCGCTTCATTGATTTGGGTTGCTGGTGGTTGTTGTTGAGTCTTGGGCTTATCGAGGACGGAGGCCTTGCTGGCCCAGCGTTCATCGGCCAGTCGAGCGAGTTGTTTGATTTGCGCCTGCCGGACAAGATCCTGCTGCTGCTCCTGGATGCTCGGGGGGTGTTCTCGGACATGTCGCAGCCATTGGTGCCATTGCGCTGTGTTGAAATAACGTCTTAGTTATGATTCAATTGTCTCATTCCCCTTTGCCCCGGAATAGCCCGAGCCTGTATCTTCTGACGGAACTCACGTGTCACTTGAACATCACTAAAATGTGTCTTTGGATCGAATCGAACAATGCGTCGGAATCGAGCAGCATTCATCACATCTTTGAACTCCCAAAAGGTATTTCCGGCGAGATCCTCACCTAAGAGACGGTTAGCGGCACTGAGACGCCATAAGAAAAACAGAAAGCAGATACTAACCGACCAAGAAGGACTTGCGCCAGGGCAGGCGAAGCTTCTTCCATTTGAACCACAAGCTGTTAACCATTGTTGAGTGCGTAGAATAGAAAGAGGCGAAAAAAAAAAGATCGAGGCGGGACTATCAGGAACGTCATCGGGGATAAACACAGCCCGGGCATTCCACTCCTCTTCTCCCCATCTCTCAGCCTTTTCTCCCTTTTTTTTCAAATTTCTACGACTTTACTAGAAAACTTCTGCACTTCTAGTAATTGAAACATTTCTTCATATCGTCATTTCCAATTGTATCACGGAACGCTCTCCTTCTGCTACCCAACAGCCGCCACCGTTAGGGCCGATCAGGCACCCGCAAAGGGATACATACCACTCAAGTGGCAACAACAGAACAACTACATTTCAAAACACTCGAGCATCGATTCAACACTCATCATGGCTTCAGTGACTTCGTTGGACAAGGATTTGCGCAATATGCGCCTATCCCGCTATACCCCGCAGGCAGCCGCGGAGGTACGCGACTGGATTGAGGAAGTGCTGCATGAGAAACTGGCAACGCCGGACTTGCTCGAAGGCTTGAAAGATGGTGTTGCTCTTTGCAAGTAAGTTTATTTATGTCTTCCAGGTCCCACCCACGGGTGTGTTTTTAAGTACCACTCACGGGTACAAATGTATGGACCCCTGGCTAACTCCTTTGATTACAAGGCTGGTAAACCTCGTTGTGTCACCGGGCGTGAAGTATAAGCAGCTGTCCGCGCCATTTGTACAGATGGAGAATATTTCGCATTTCTTGCGCGCATGCCAATTGCCACCTCTCAACCTTCCCCCGCACGATGTCTTCCTGACAGTTGATCTCTACGAAGCAAAGGATCCAGCGCAGGTTCTCCAGTGTCTTGCTGCGTTCAGTCGGCGCGCCAATGCCCTTGCGCCCAACAAGTTCCCCCGAACTGTTGGCCCACAGAGCAAGCGCGGTGTGGTCAGCCCAAATGCGACGGGTTCCTCGAGCACCGGAGCATATACACCCCGATCAGCCCGCTCCTCTAGCAATGTCGGGGATCCAGCTCGAACAGGCAGCCCTGCGAAATCTTCTGGGTCGTACAGTACTTGGGCCAAGAAGGGAGATGAACAGGATACCACGCCGGCTTGGAACATTCACCAATATGGCTACATTGGGGGAGCTAGCCAAGGGAATCAAGGAGTTGCATTTGGTGCTCGCCGACAGATCACCACTCCTGGACCTGCTGTACCAAGCCTTGCAGAGAAAGAGAAGCGCAAGCGTGAAGAGGATGAACGGATTCGTCAACAGAACGCAGAGAGGGAAGAGGCAGACCGCGCACATCAGCGACAGATTGCAGAAGAGGAGGCCCATGCCAAGGCAGAAGAGGAGCGCCGATGGGAAGAAGAGACTGCTCGTGTAAGAGAACAAGAACGTCTCAAGGTCGAGGCAGAGAAGAAGCGCTGGGACGATGAAAAGCGCCAATGGGAAGCGGAAGAGCAGCGACGTATGGCAGAAGAAAAGGAAGCCGAGGACCGCTTCGAGCAGGAGCGACAACAGAGACGAAACCTGAATGATAACCGTCTCAATGGTCAGTTCCTGAGTCAGTACCAGGCCTCCAAGTCCCAGGCTAGTGATGTCGCCGGTGCGGTCGAGGAAACAGCACAAAGCCGCCGCATCAAAGAGCTCGAGCTCGAGCTACAGCTGGCAAAGGAGCGGGAGCACCAGTACGAGACTGAACGCCAAGTCCAACCTGGAAAGACTGGCGATCAGCCTCAGCCTCGCAGCCAAAGTCGCCCTCATCCCGTACCCCCAAAACCTAGCTACGATCTCTCTTCCCTGGAACAAGAACGGCGACTGCTCCGTACTGAGTGGCAGAACACGCAGGATATGCCGGCTACTTCCGAGGCAGAGGAACCCCAACCCATCGAGGAGCAAGCACCACCCCAGCCCCCTCGTCCCCTCCCAGTGCCAAAGCCATCATCTTTCTCTGCATCGCCAGCGCTCCCACCCAGAGACCTGCCCGCCTCGCCCCGGCCCCTTCCAGACCCGGTAGCTTACAACGCCAACCGGGGCCACGAAAGCCGCGTGGATAGTTTCCTCTCCTCTAACCCGGCACCCAAATCCCCAACCCCAGCCGCACACCGATTCCAAGACTACACCTCGACCTCCGAAGTCGACGCCGAGAACAGCCGCCGCGCAGCCTCACAGCAGAAGACCAAGGCTGGCGGCTGGGCATCCAAGTCTCTTCTGGAACGAGAGATGGAGCGCGAACGCGCGCGCCAGGAAGAGTGGGCAGAGAATCAGAAGCAAACGGCGGCCGCGGCCGGGCGTGGCAATCAAGATGGCACGCAAGGCTCGGGACCGGGCCAGTCATGGGATGTTCATCAGTATGGCTACATGGGTGGTGATAACCAGAACCGTGGCGGTGTTGGCCTTGGTGTTGGCGGTGCTAGGCGCCAGATTATTGGTCCCCGGCCACCGCGGTAAATTGTCTTGTGTTGACTATTCAACTTAGGCTCCTTTCTCCTTCCATTTTCTTACCATTTTATCTTTCTACTTCTTCTTTTAAACTGTATTTTCCCTAATTCTGTGGGTGGATATCATCATTGAAACGGAAGACCTATTGTCATATTTCTGTGTTGGTGGATTATTCTATTATTTGCGTGCTGTGATTCCCGCCTTGCTTACTTTCAAAGGTTATACATAGAAATGTCGATTTCACAAATTAGACCTTTTTTCCCGACTTATTCTACCGTGTACATATATGACAAGAAGAAGGCATCCATGAAAACAAACCTTTCAAAACGATTATCTACAGAGACATCCCCAAAAGACTACCCAAAAAGACGTCAAAGTCGCCTATGTACCATACCTACAATACCCGTAAGGGGGGGAAATATCTAAAAAGACGTCACAAGGCCACATATGCGGCCGACTTTTCTTGTGTTTTTGACGCGATGTGGTTGTAGATAGTAATTATACCCTAGATCCTATAATAAATAGGATAGTCCTTTCATGGCAAGTGAATAGAATCGGCATTTAACGGATAGCACAGACTCCATGATCCTTGAGTATATATCAAAAATGTTATATTCAAACCAAAGCAAAGCAAAGGGCATTCAAATGCTCCATAAACGCCCCAAAGCACGACCATTAAGTATCATTGTCATCATGAACGTCATTACCACAACACTGACCTTCTCCGATCCCACAGAAATGCTTCATGGCAAGATATGCTCGACCATGAACTTCATCCTAAACCCACTCTCCTGCAAGTAAGCCCATTCAACCGATTTCCGATCACGACTATTAGTCTGCTCACGACGCGCAATCCCAGACTGGACAGCTTTCGCCAGCGACGGGGTTACAGAGAGCATCTTGCTCTTATACAGGAGTGTCATCAACGCCTCAAGTAGAAGGGAGACCTTGGCATTGTTCCCGACGCTCGGGGTAGCCGCCGCGTAGGGGAGGAAGCATTTCTCCAGCTTCGCCTGGGTAAGGTAGTTATCGTCGGAGCTGGGGGCGGAGCTCTCGCGGAGGACGAAGAGGAGGAGTTCGCAGAGAGTGGAGTGTGCTTCGGGGAGGAGGTGCGGGAGGTTGGAAGGGCTGATGAAGTGTTGGAAGATTGGGAGGGAGAGGTCGCGGATGTTCTCGACGAACATGTCGTAGAGGTTGTCTAGGGGCATGAAGTCTCGGGGCAGTTTCTCTGAGACGTTGGAGAGGATGCTGAGGAGTTGCTGGCGGAGGGCGAGGGAGGTGTAGCCGCCTAGCAGGAATATATTGGATTCGTGAGAGGGTGTTTGGCTTGCTTTGGGCATCTTGACTGGGTCTGTGGCTTCGTCCATTGCGTTTCGCGTTCCTCGTCGGGTGCGCTTGCTACGCCGTGGCTTGCCGGGATTCGATCCCTTGGCTGGAGGTGATGTCGATGTTGAGCTTCGATCAGCTTCGAGATCCTCGTCTGAAACATTCAGGTAGTCGCCGTAGTCATCCTTGTCGAGGTTGATATCGCCTGCCCTCTTTTTGGTATTATGCGGGTCTTGGTCTGGAATAGGAATTCTCAGCTCATCCTTGAATACTTCCTTGAACTCGCCGAGATTGGATTTGCCATTGGCGAAGATTGCCCGCATGATTCTGCGGTTCCGTCCAGCTGTGGCGTTCGAGGAGATATAGCGGAAGATCAGGCTTTCTCGAAAGATTCCAAGGTCATCGTGTACCTCCACTACCTTCGTCTTATGCCTTCTGCCCTTGCGGCTTTCTTTCTTGGCTGGTTCAGCGCCCTGTGAGCCCTCCCTCTCCGACGTCTGTGACATCTCAGACATCTCTGACCAAACTGAGGCATCCCTTTGGTTTTCTTTTGCCTCTAGGTACTTCTTTTCGCGCTCTTTCCAATCATCTTCGAGTACGTTGCACATAAACTGGAGCCATATCTGCCAGCGCTCCCACCGGGCCGGATGAAGTACCGAACAATTAAATGCCCATCCGACAGCGTGCCAGAAGTCCTCTGCGCAGCTCCACACTGAAGAATCTTGGTTGAATTTCGTATTTAGAGGCCGAGTATCAGGATTGCCATCCTCAACCACCATCGGACTTTCCCCGCGCCGTCTACCCTGTCGCGAAGATTCAAAGTGGGTGAAGCCGAAAGCAAGATTGAACTTTGCATCCATGGGACCAACAAGGGAATTCGTCAATCGAAGAAATCGCAAAGCTGCATTGGGTGCTTCTTTTTCATACTCGGATTCGGCGCGCGTTGTTGTTCTTGGGTGTACGAGCATCGTACCTGCAACGGCCAGATGCTGCGGTAGTGGAATCACTGCTTTTGTTGATGAGATAGTTCCCGATGCAAGGACATTGAAGAGAAGGCTATATGCTTGGGGCCCTAGTAGAGAAAACGAATAATATTAGCAGCGGCTCTTTGAGGTTTTCCCGCACGCGTCAAAACACGGGGAAAGTGGACATACATAGGCTATCTTCGAGGAAAATTTCGGTCTGTCGAGCCAGCTCCCATTGAAGGGGTACGGGGGACCGATATGGTACCTCTTCCATGGTCGCCATGGGCAGAGGGGGGTTTTTGAAAAGCCAGCTCAAAAGATACATTTTGTGCTGGCAGTAACGCGCTTATCGATAAGGAGTTGCGGCGGAGAATGGCGTTTGGCGCGTCGCAATGAGGTATATGTCCGGCAGAACAGTAGGCACTTGGATGCTGATATATGTGGCATTATTCAAGGGCATAGGAAAGGCATCCAAGGTAGGTTCTAGAGATATGTTAGGATAATATAGAGGTCAACAAAGTAAGAGAGGTTTGATAATCAATTCTATAAAAAGATTGAATTTCTTTGTTTCGAGGGCGGAAACAAAGGCGGTGGAAAGTATACAGACAATGAACTTGGCTATTTCTTGCTGGAAGGACCTGGGGCACAAATTGACAAGGAGTTGATGAGGTTGCTGCATGATGAATCCTGTGGTCAGTCAAGTCGAAGTATTTAGGTGTTTGTTTCGGTGAAAGTCTGGAATCTCAAAACTAGTTGAGGTGCATAGCCCTGGACATGTCAGTCCATTTCAATAACACAAAAAGAAGCAAGGGGACATCTATAAGCTATGAGCACATATGATTAGAAGAAAAAAGACTTGGAAGTTACTTTCTTGGCTTTGGTTTATAGTTCCTATGCAGATGGTCGCAGTATACATATCTATATTTTAAGTATTGGATTGCCTGCATGGTTTTTACCTCGCACATCGGCCTTTTTAATTCTTAACCTTCTTTGTTTATCATTCGAATATTTGAGGCTACCTACATATGTACATGTACGTAAGAAGTGACAAATACTTATTGCTGATCGAATTCTAGCCATGATGCAATAGGCCCCCGCATGGACCCCAGCCAAGAGATTGACCTGCATTACCGATCGAAGCTCTACATAGGGACAGATTCTTACTTCCATGTGGATAGATTGCAAAGGCGTTAATCCCTTACATTACACAGCCCAGGATTTCAAAGAGCCGGGACCCGAAAAAATGAAGCTTGCAAAATAAAAAAAATGCAAGGCTTGGATACTTCGAAATCTAGACAAGGATAAGCTGCCTAAGGCAGGCTGAAAGGAGGGGAATTTGGACTGGTTCGCAGTGACTTCTGCGTCTTCATATTTGCTGACGAAAAAGAAAAGTGAAACAGGATGCGCAGTGGCCAAAAACGGTTCAAACCCCCGTTGAACAATTTCGCAATGCAAAGGCCTTTTATGGAGAAAAGGAAGGGAAGGCGAGAAAGCTCGGGAAAACCGAGGAGGCCCTGGATACGCCAACATGGATAGTGGAGAGAAAAAAGGAAAGATTAAATGGGAGCCACTATGACTCCTCGGGTATATCGGAGAAGAGACCTATTCGCAACCGATGCGACTGTAGTCAAAAAGTTAGTCAATGAATTTCATAAGTCTGGTTCCGAGCAGATATGACATACGAAAGGTAGCTTGGGAATAACCACTCCCAACGTGGCTAGGAAGTTGATGGTGAAGTGGGTCAGATCGAAATGGGTGTAGTGGGTGCTGAGGAGGAAAAGCACGATAGGCACGCAGAGCAAGAACTTCTTAGCGGGTGTATACTGGTCGCCGTTGTCGATCTGCTCCCACATGTTGAGATTGTCATAGGCGCCGGCGTTGAATTCGAATGGGATGCCCCGCACCCAGTGGAACATGAGGAAGGATCCGAACATGTAGCTGATATTGGTGAGGGTCCATGAAGTTTCCTGCGAGACGCCCGGAATGATGTCGTAGAAGATCTTGAGAGCGGCGATACACACGAAATGGATGGTCCAGGCACCTACAGTCAAAACGAAATCCCACGTTAGTCCTTGATTTCATGATATGTGGTCTCCAGGATCTTTCGGCACTCACCCTTGGAATTCACCCAGTTTGCATTCAGATTTGGCAATGCGGCCTGATCACTGGTATGCTCGATAGACTCGGCCGGCTCCTGGTAGATAAGACTGCTGGACCGCCTCCGGCGACCTTGTTTTGAGGTCATGCTTGGAGATAACCGCTGTGGCCCTGTGTCAACATCCGGAGGGAAGGAGACCCCACGGGGGGCCAACAGGGAAGACACTTTTGAATTGTCGGACGCCAGCTTGACGGTTGGATCCAAAGGAACAGGGAATGTAGTACGGAGTGAAGAAGAGAATAATGAAAAGGAGCGTGGGGATGAGGTGGCACACGGCCCAAGACTGGAGTTTGCCGGTCGGATCGGCTTGCTGCGGTCACGGGGTGAGGAAGAGCTCTCTGATTCACCTAGGCGCGTCTTATTTTTTTTTCTTTCTTTTTTTTCCTTTTTGCCTAGACTATCTTTTTTTCTCTCTTTCTATTAGAGGTCTATAATTAGATTGGTTTTTTATTCTCCCTAATCTATTCCCTACCTGTTAGATTGGCCGAGCAAAAGGGAAATGCATAATTGGCCATACATCAATGTACGAACGTATGCATGTGCGGAATCTAGCCCGAAAGGACTAGAACTGCCCATGTACTCTATATTAAGGATGCAGTAAAGGGGCTCATTCATAAATAGATGAACATATATCATTACTCCTTAGTCCAGTCTTATGACGATTCCTTAGAAAATATTTCTTATCGTTGACGTTTCCTTTTATGGGGCAATTATGTCTGAGACATTCATCGATGTAGAATTGGCTAATATACAGGACTTGGCCACCTTTGCTCAACTATGAAACCAAATTACTATGATTTCGTCTCTATATATATCTATACACAACTACTAAAAACAAGCCTAATATCATCTTAGCCAAACGTCAGGGACAGAGGCTGCACAAGCAGCCGACCATTCTCATGCAATTATACCTTTAAATCTTAGGGTCGTATGCGGTTGGATACATCCCGAGTGAAAAGGCTATAGATGAAATACTCTGCTGTATCTGGGACATGGTCTTCAACCTAAGCCCCCGGGCCTTTCTGTTCGTATTGATGGCGCTAATCTAGCCCCGGGGGTAACATGTTGATCAGGCGACGTAAACAACGGGTAAAAATTGTTGATACATAGCACCGAAGGCCGCTAGGCTGTGCCAGGTGATCACTTTCCCACCGGCTGTTTGAAATAGGCATAGGTCTAGATCGTTGGCACCAAAATTTATGTACTGGGTTCTTTTTGGGGAAACATTGCAATCAAGTCGTAGCGATGGGGTCCGAAGCACGGATTTTATCCTAGAAATAGTGATGGAATGTTCAATGTAGTTCTTGGAAAATTATACCAGAAGAGCTAAACCTCAATGTCGCGAGTTTACCGTCCGATATCTTTTTAAATGTCTTTTTAGACCCATCGAAGGTCCTCTGCTATTTGAAAAATCTACGAATCCTATCGGCATGGAAATATACATTCATTCCGCACGACGAGTCCAGTACCCAGCTAGTATAAACTGAAGTAGTTGATGGCAGGAGTATTAGCTAAGATTCTGTCGAAACCATCTAGTATTGCGGTGCTTGTATATAGTCTTGCCTGCCATCAGCAAAGAAGAGTAGATGGCCCTCCGGTTTGTCCACTAAGAGCTGGTGCTGGCTAGGAAGTTCCTCAACACTGGCAACTCAAGTTTATAATCAACAAGAATAATCGGACGCTACTCCGGCCTCTGTCCTTGACGACGTAAGTCATTTATAATCCGATCTATTTGTCCCAATATTGGAAGATGATATTAGGGGTGTTAATGTAAGAACAGCCCGATGTATTTTTGGAAGTTCTTTTTAGATATCTTCTCAGATGTATACGAAGGAGCGGAAAAGCATAAACCATAAAGAGGGCTTTTCCATGTACAACCAGGGACTCGTGGCTAATATGGAAAATAAGAGTGCCCTAACTTGATGGATTCAATAAAACACATTGGGTGACTGCGGGCTGTGAGCGTCTACCCAGCCGCGGCTCGTTTATAGTCAACAGTGCTTTGAATATGCAGCCTGACGATCGATAAGATCAGTAATAACATTAGATACTTGGGACTACAGAAGATGGCATCAACCCCACTCTTGGCGTCGATCCCCTCGGCTTGCTCTACTCCACGGGTAGATCTTACCCCTAAGACAACGCCCAGTCTGAACAGTCTTTAATGACTCATTGTTGGAGTTTGCATCTTGTATCATAATCTGCTGATAACTCTATACATGCAGTTGGAGTTTGGCCCCAGGGCCAAAGGGGCTTCCTAGTCTCAGTTGTCTGTCTGCTGTCTCCAGGCTAGATCAAGTCGAGATCATGTGGATATTGACTACCTGACCTGTGAGCTTGATATGAGAATTATCAATCTTGTATTCTTTTGCCTTTTTACGCTTATATGCTTCCGATAAGTACCTATATAGGTATGTCTCGGTTGTATCTAATCCTAACGAGGTCTTCAGTGTTTTCTATGTCAATTTATTAGGATAAAGCCTTATAAAAAGAAAGGATTAACCTATATTTCTACCTCTATATAATACAAGCATAGTCGGCCACTTATGCAGCCTTGTGATATCTTTTCTCTATATCTTTTTAACTGTCCTTTTTAGATGTATGTGAACGCGGTAGGAAGTGCTGCTTATCGGCTTATCGAGCTATCGTTTATCGCCGTATCCTTCTATTTCGGAATTGCGCGAGTGGTCGATATCGTCTACCGTGAAATTTTCTGGGGACCCAAATTCTACTGTTGATCCTTCTGGACTCTCACTCTATCTGTACTCCAATACTTTTCTCCAAGATTATTCAATTAATTGCATCAATGGCAAAATCCTCAGATGAAGAGGCTGATTCGCGCACAGCCCTGGTTGGCGCACCGCGCACTCGGTCGAATCCGCGTTCCACTTCGCGCTCCGCATCGCACGACAGCTCCCGCCCGGCCAAGAGACAACGCCGCAACAGAAATAAGAAGGACTCAGATCTAGCTGACTTTGTTCCAAAAGGGGTTGCATTCAGTGCCACATCCTTGCCAGTGGACGATCCAGACAACACATCTAGTTCGGGATCTAGTTCGGCCTCAAGTGAAGATTCCGATTCCGACGCGGACAAAACCACTGTCGCAAACCCACACGCTGGCAACACTGCGCCTGCGATTAGCTGGAACCAGGGTCGGAAGGCTGCAGTGCGAACAACACTTGGAAAACGATCGGCGCCAACAAACGAGCAGCCTACTCAATTTGAAGCGGTGAACGACAAATATTGGCGCAGTCGCAGCGCATCTGTTTCGGTCAATGGTGAAGACAAGCCCACAACAAACGACCAATTTCAAAACGACGATGAGCTGGAAGATGGCGAAATTGACTCCAAGAGTGACACAGATGATACAGATTCTCTTGGTTCTGAAGCCGATGACTCTATCCTGCTAAACATAGGGGATAAGATGGGAATGGATGGTGCCAATGACTATGACCCTGCCACTCTGGCTCATCAACATGCTTCCACCACTGGAAACTCAAATCTGAAAGGCGCATCTGCACAAACCGGACCTGGATCGAAAGAGGAAGCATTCCGGCTATTCTCAATCAAGTATCCAAATGCGCCTGTTGCTTTGGTGGACCTAAGCCAGGCGGACCTTGAGATCCTTGCGAAGTATGTCTATTTTGATCGAAACATCCATGACCTAGACCTCAAACTTCCTATCTCTTGCATTGAATGTCAACGTGAGGGCCATATGGCAGATGTCTGCCCAGCAAAAGAGGTATGTTCTATCTTGCATCTAGTTACTTTATCTCCACTCTACTAACCACAAATATAAAGTGTGAACACTGCGGTGCCTGGAATCAGCACCAAAGCAGTATTTGCCCCGACTGGCGACGATGCCAACGATGCCGCGAACGTGGCCACGACGAGCCGCAATGCAGTGCAAAACTACGCAATTTCGCATACGAAGTGCCTTGTGACTATTGTGGGAATGAGCACCTGGAAGCTGAATGCGATTCTCTATGGAGGTTTCCAATCAGGGATCTCCACTCCGACCAAGTCACAGTCTCAATCTGCTGTGCCAATTGCTGCAGTGCGAAGCATCTTGTGGGAGACTGCCCAGCTACTAGCTTGCGCGCAGCAACCACAAAGTCATCATCATTTACCCTGAAGGGTATCGACCCAGACATGATCACGAACCTCAACACTGTCATCCCGCCCCGAGAAAGCCGCCCCCCAAGCCAAGCTTCATCCCGCGGAAGAAACAGGGGATGGTCTCCGGCTCCATCACCAGAAGAAGATGATATGATGTCCCGCGTATCCCGAGGCCGAGGCCGCCCCGTCCCTGCCCCGCGTGGCAACACCCGTGGCAGTATCAAGTTTGCAAGCGGAGTTGGATCCAAACGTGGTGGTGACCCACCACCCAGAGGGCCTTCTCGTGGCCGATCAACATTCTCTGGGAACAACAACCACCGTGCGCGCTCCCCCAACCCGCCCCTTCCACGGGGTCCTCCCCCACCGAGAGGTGGTGGTCGCGGCCGCGGACCGCAACGAGGAGGAGGATTCTCACGCGGACCGCGTGGTGGGGGCGGCAGAGGCCGCGGGTGGTAAGAAGGGGGTGAGGTGAGAAGTGAGCAGCAAATCCCGGCGAAAGCCATGTACATAGCGAAAAGGACAGTGTCAACCATTCATCTCAGCCTCAGCTGAGAATGTATGTACGATTAAATGACAGTTTATTCTAACAACTCTCACTTCGCCGCAGCAAGTATGTTTCTCACATTGTACGTAGTAACATGATTTCCAGACGGACTATCTAGTATATTCACCAACCGGCCGCCTCTGGTTATCTAAATCCATCCCATAGTGAGATGACACCACTAGAATTCCATCACGGGCCATGCTCATCATTCTCTCTAGTCCCAGCAAATCCCCCATCCAGGATATCGACCAGATCATCCAGCTGCTTAATGCAAAGATCAGTGTGCGGATGTTCCTTCAAATGCACGTTCCGCTCATTCAAAAGCAACACCGTTGCAGCGCCAGCCATATGCCCAGCTGTCATATCATCAATGCTGTCACCAACCATGATCAAATTCTCACCATTAGCGAGACCCCATTCACTCGCAATATGTAAAATACCCGCTGGATCAGGCTTGGGCAGGAGATTGGGCGTGTCGCGCGTGATGATTGGTAGGAAGATATGACCGTTGAGATGGTTATTAAGCAGGTTCTGGACTGGTGCTCTGAGAGACGCGAACGTGGATGTTAGCGCTGTGTGTACGTTACACAATCGGAATGAATCTGAATTGGATATTCCAAAATTATGTCCTGGTTGCGTTGATTGCTGTAACGTACTCGAAGTTCCGTGTGCAGAGTGCCCGTCGTAAGCCGCGCGATTCAAGATAGTCCATTAGACGAACCAGGCCGGGCTGGGGTTTTTGGTCGGCCATGGCGCGGCGTTCTACTGCCTGCACTTTGGATACAGCGGTGGCTTGGTCTGCGATTGGGAGTTCGCGGATGTGCTGGAGGATGTCGATGGAGCGATCGATTCCTAGTGCTTCTCTATAGTAGCAGATTTGTTAGAGAGGGTTTAAAGGTGGTTGGTTTTGAGCAGCTCGCAAGCAGTAAACCATACCTCATTTCGCTGAACATGTGGTGCTGTGGTAGACTGGTCAAGGTTAGCTAGTGTTCAGTCAATATAAGGTTGACTTTGTAACACAATCAGAACTTAGTATCGCAGGAAGAGCCAAGATGCTCAATTTCCCCGTAATTGAACATGGTAGGCAGCAAAAGCACAGGATAGGAAGGCCAGAATATGACATAAAACTAGAGGAGCACAAAAAATGCCCTCCACTCAACTACTATGTCCTATCTGTGGAGGATCCGAATCCTAAGGCAAGACAGGAAAGTAGGTTTTTGCCTGAATCTCAAATTGATGCCTTGACTCATTTCCTGCCCACTTCCAATAATAGCATCAAGATGCATATATAAAATCTCCAGGGCGCATGTAACATAGCCGATATAAATATTAAACAGGGAGAAGAACTACAGAGCATAACTCGCAAAAGGTATCGGGAACAGAAAAAGTGACTCACCACAAAGTCCCATCCACATCAAACACAATTCCCTTCAATAGAGGGGCATTTGACGTCCCGGTAGAGCCGAGAGGTGCAAACTTTCGCGGACGGAGGTCTTTGCAGGCGACAGCAGACATGATGGAACGAGCAGCGTGCCTTATACTGGACATGGACAGAGAGAGAGGAGGTTGAAGAGGTGGAGTTAGGTAGGTGGAGCCGCGGGAACGATCTATAAGGTTCCCAGGTTCCAAGGTTCCCGAGGAAAGAGCCTCCCGAGATCGGGAGTTTGCTCCTTCCCTCTTTTGGTATTCTCCTCACAAATTAATATACTAGTTAATCTGGGGATTTGACAATTAACCCAGAGTACTACATAGTAGTAATGTTGGAATGTCCGCAGTTACCTAGTACCTATTTCCCCTGTGACTAGCGAAACTATGACGTACCAAGTCTATCATAACTATACAGATATAGTCATATATACGTAGCCAATACGCATATAAAGCCCCGAAGAGTCTGTAATTTCTACTATTATTTATCTTGACCTCCAAATTTCCAAAAAAAAAAAACTATTCATATTAAGAATCATTACAATAATGGCTTGTTCCGACCAGCCCGCCCTTTACATTCTCATCGGTGCTATATTTGCGACGACTGGTTATGTCATCGGTGGTGTCGTTCTACTTTTGTACTATGAACGCCGACTCCTAGTTCAGTACTCTAAGCGTCGATATCCTCGCCCTAATTCTGATTCAAGCGAGAGGAGTGATCAAGCTTCCATGAAAGAAAATGCCGGCAGTGCTGCTAGCATCAACAAGATATTCACCACTACAACACAATTTGGACATGCAAAATCAGATATGGATCGAAATATTGGATATAGTGCATATGTATAGAGCATGCGAGACCTCGACAGCTCGAATGCCTGACTGCCACGTACAAGGTTACCCCTGCAGTCGAGCACGAGGATATAACTGCAGCTACATGATTTTCCTTTTTTCTTCTTTTTTTCATATCAAGAGTGTGAGACCTACGTTGGTTTCAGCATTTGTTTACTTTTTAACTTGAATTTTGATAAAATCATTTATAAATCAAAGTTGATACTTTTTTCCCCCGAATCCAAGGCATCTTGTGGCTCTTTCCCTATTACCACCCGAGTACTTTGTAGTTTCCTCAACTGTAAATAGTAATCATGATCTCCTAGGTGGATTGAAACCCAATCCCAAACAAACCAGCCATATCTCCCCAACTAAGTCATCGGGCTGAGTCGCCAGCTATCCATCATGGACCAAAGACCTTTCGCGGTTTTCCCCATATCCCTCCTAAACACAATATTCCTCATTGGATCTCTCTCCTGGCTGCAACTTCTCTACGCAGTATCCTACCTCGCACAACCATTCTGGAACACACGCCGCGAGTTTCCACCATTCAACAGAGCCATCAGTCGCACAGAAACAAGGATCATCAACACATTCCTCGGCACTGTCCCACTCTCAGCCTATAGTTCCGCAACAGCGGAGCGCCAGTGGTACCTTTCATCAGGCAATCATGCCTTGAACCACGCGAACAACACCTGCACAACCTCCCAGCCGATCCCCAACTCGCTAGCCGTATCAGCCTGGCCACAGCAGGGATACCAAGACTCGGATTCCTCCTCATCAGAGCAAGAAAGTCCTTCCTCACAGCCAGACACCGAAAATCCCCAAGTGAGCTCCCCCATTTACGAAACCGTGCGCAAACTCCGATCCAGCACACGAGGCAGCATCTCAAAGATCGCCAGCTCGGCAAAGTCCATCTTCCGACAGCCGCTGACAGTTCTCCCACGGAATCTGGACGGCTCGGCTCCAGACGAGGAACGCGCCGAGCCAGACCTTGTTCCAGTCCCAGTGCGCACTTCGCAGCCTCATTTTATCCATAACGCGGCTTTCCCTGTGCCCATGTCTGCATCTACCCGTGTCGCGGATCACTTTAGTGACCCTGGTCCGTCGATTGGAATCAAGGTGCAGCAGCCGGTCTCGTTTGGGGCTACCATTGATGCGGCTGTTGATTCTGAGACGGTGCAGATGAATCGTGCGCGCAAGTATCACTCTGTCGAGAGTTATCCTGGGAAGTTTCCCGTTAGCGATGCGTTGGATTATAGCTCGCTTGCTACAGCCTATGCTGTTAGGGGGAGGGGGACTACTTCTGTTCGACCTTTCTCAGACTACTAGGGCTGTTCTTTTGTTGATCGGACATTCTCAGGACTAGGTTTTGGTGGTGATACCATGACGGTTGTGGTTGTCTTTTGACTGGATTTTTCGAATTGGTCTTTTTTGTTTGTTTCTCATGGAGAATCAGTGTTGTACTTGGGAGTCTACTATTCATTATATTCATTACCAAACATCAGGTCCGTCATTCTTGTCATTCAATCTCATCTTGCCTTTCCGTTCTTTCGCATCCTCCGATAACCGCACTGCTGCCTACCGTATTCCTCAGGAAAGGATGTATGCTCACATTATTACAGTAATTTTCATCTCACTATTATTTCCGGGACCACTAAGACCTATACCTTATGAGGAGGATAATACTGATGCTATGAAAAGCGCTGGAAACTTTTTAATGCAAAGCTGAAGTCTATTTGATAATGCACCAGTCTACCCAAGTCAATAAAAACGCCAACAAATGCTATACAAAACGAATCAACTCATCTATATCCCTTTATTTCTCCGTCTGCCATCCCTCCCATCTCTCAAAGTCCCCCGTATCCAAATCAAACAGATCCAACATACGCCCCACACTCTGATCAACCAAATCATCCACCGACGCAGCCCGGATATAGTACGCCGGAACGGGAGGAAAGATGACCGCACCAGCACGGGAAACCTCCAACATGTTACGCAGATGAATATCGCTCAGCGGAGTTTCCCTTGCAACAAGCACAAGCTTCCGTCTCTCTTTCAACATGACATCCGCAGTACGCGAGATCAAATCATCACAGAACCCACTGTGAATAGCAGCAAGGGTCTTCATACTGCATGGAACAACGATCATGCCATCAGTCTTAAAAGAACCACTAGCAATCGGCGCAGCCATGTCGTTGATGTTGTGCACATGATCTGCTAATGCTTTGACATTCGACGGGTGGTAGTCGGTTTCGTATTTGATGGTTGCCTCGGCCCATTTGCTCATGACAAGATGGGTTTCAATGTTTAGGCGACGGAGGGCGATCAGCACTTTGATTCCGAGAATTGCGCCCGTTGCGCCTGTCATTGCGACCACAATGCGTCTGCGGCGCGTTTGTTGGGGGGCATGGTTGATGGTTGGCATTGTTGTTTCGGTTGGGCTGCCTCCTGGAGAGTTGCGGCTGGAGGATGGGGTCTGGGCTCCAGAGAGAAGAGAAAGCATTGATAGGAGGCTTGTTGAAGAAGTTGTTTTGGTCTTGTTGGGTGGTGGTTTGGGTTGTATCCTGTGGAGCTGTGATGACTGCTGTGATGGATAAACTAAGCCCGGCAACCCTGGCTTGTTATATATCAATTTGTGGCAAAATGCCAATTTTATCTAGGTCTCACAGGCTTTTTTTTGGCTGTAGGTTGCCCATGAATAATGTCATCGGGCCGGTTTTGGGGACCCGAATGAAGCTGTCCGAGGCCCCGAGACCGAGATCCGAACGTTGCACGGATAACCTTGGAACCATCCACGGGTGGCACAGTGGATAAAAAATAATTGCATAAAGCTTGAATATGTGCATCCCTGTGTGCATTGTGAAAGTATAATTGATTGAAGTCTATGACTGGCCGGGTATTAGGTTTTAGCAGGTTTCACAAGAATCCATTTTCTTGTGTATAATCAAACATCGGAACTGGGATATGTCAGCTTATAGTTGTTTAAACTAGGCAAACTGTGCTTACGGTTCATTATCGAGTCCAGATACGTAACAGGTGATACGTCGAATGGGTCGGGCATGTCCATGGACCCAACAGGCCTGTTCAGATGTGAGTATTCGTCTTTCACCATGGACAGAAAACTTACCCAGGACCAAATTGCGGCACCATATTTGAGGCCATTCCCGCCCAATTCTCTGTTTCCGTAGCGCCCGTCTCCTGCTCTCGTTCCAAGGCGCTTCGTAAGGTCACCAAGGCTCGGATGTGACGATCCGACAACCACTGACTATCACTTTCAGAAAAGGAAGCACCATCATTGTTGATTCTTGAATTGGATGATGAGAAGACGTCGATAACTTTCTGCTGAAGATTGCGACATTCAGGGTCATTGCGCGTCTCTTCCCAGATACAAAGAAGCAGGGTTGAACTCAACACTGTATGCACCATTGACCAGCTCCGCAATGGAACCGTACTCAGAGCCTGGAAATCAAGAAATGCCTTAGAAGCATCAGTCAAACTCCCTTTGGCACGAGCCCGAAGAATACCAGCGTGCGGGAGAAAAGGCTGTGGGGTTGATTGCTTCATTGCCGGTCGGCAGAAGACCGATACACAGAATGAGGTGTGCATTCTGAGAGCTAAATGCTCGAGATGTTGTTGTAGTGTTGTGCAATTTTCTCGTGATCGAAGATATGGTAGGCCGCGTTGGCGAACATCATCTAACCGCTCCAAACCCTCTAATGCTCGATCAAATTCAGCAACGCTGTAGGTTTCCTGTCGCATAATATCTAGACTGATACGACAGAGCAAATGCATTACTTCTGCGAAGGACAAGTCTTGTCTCTCGAAAAATGAGTTGGCGAGAGACCATCCTGCCACAGAGACAATAGGCGGTCGATCATAGCAAAGGCACAGTAAACTATCCTGCCAAACAATTGTTGACCTGTGGAAAGTCAGCTGTGATGCGATTAGATATGCCTATAGTAGTTTGATGTTCATACCAAAGAGTCCTAGCCTTCATTCTCACCTGTTCAGGCCAGTGGACGGTACTTCTTTCAGTATGCAGGCCCATGGTCTGAGCTAGTCGGATTGTCGTGCCCAGTAACGCCCAGGCGGCATCGGACTGTCCCATATTCTGCAACGCATTTCCCAAGATAAGCAGTGATTGTATGATATCTAGTGATGGCCGAAACAGGAAATTGGCCAAGCGGAGAGCATGAAATGATCTACGGGCTGGATATCGTTAGTCAAGCTTGATGAGTGTGCAATCAAGCTTACCAAAGTCAGTTGACAGTTCAAGTCGTTCGGGATATTCAATATCGGAGTAATGTGCCCCGGATGCTAATGTTGCCAGTAAAAGGCTGACATGACCAATAGACTTGTCGGTTGCCCAGCGCTCAGAAATCTTCTCCGGGTCGCGTAATTCACCAGATGCGTGGGCATTGAGATAGGTGCACAAGTCAGATTCAAAGCGATCTATGTCAGCGAGTATTGGATTGAATGGATATGCCGTGACGCGATAAAAGTGGAAGAATCTAAAGAGTTAGCCGTATTCCTTTTGAGTTATTTAAAACTTACTTTAAGACCTCTGATCTCTGAGGCATTACAGTTAGCAGTGCTTTCCACCTCTCAAGCGGCGTCTTTGAGTCCATGAAAGGATAATTGCTGAAGGTATTCCGTAGACCAAGAACCGATCCAACCTCGCGGGCCACCGATTCATTGGCGTCCGATGCTCGCAGGCGCAGGATCGAAACAACCGAATTATCACCAGAATAGACATAATCCTTCGAATTATCATCACGCCGTGCTGGTTCATTTCTTGCTACGGTCGGTGATCTGGGCGAAGCTGAGCGTGCGACACTATGGCGAGAAGCCGATCTCCGCCTCGAATGCGTAAGGGCGTAGGTACAAATCTCGGGGTGTTTTCGCTTCTGACAGGTACTACACGGTTGGAGTCCATCACATTTGACCTTCCGCTTTCTGCACGGGTAGCATGCATGAGCCTCTCGCTCTCGACTCTTGAGGTTTAGCACCCGGTCTGCTTCACCCTGGCTGATAGCACTCATGCTGCCGAGGACTCCGAGGTACCGGGATGAACAGGGTTTGTTGTCTTGGCCAAGAAGTTGTGCGGGTTGAAAGTGTGGGGCTCCCTCAATATAACAACACGCATCCGAGCTCGGCACTGGGCGATATGAGCTACGCTATGGAGACTCAGCGAGGTAGGCTGTGCCAAAATGGTTGGATTGGGTTTCCGCCTTGACGTAACCGCCCATCTGGGCACCCACCTACCGACCCCTAGAGTATTAGTAAGCACGGCTTTACCCCCGGGGCCAATATCAAACCCGGGTGTCAAGAATTCGAATATAGACTCAATTTATACATATGTATAACTTAGATGGAGAATTGGTGCAATAATGGTATATTGAGTTGGATAAAATGCATAACTTCCTAATAGTGCTGCTGGTAAAATCTCTACTAGCACATCGGAGGTAATAGACAATTGAGGATATATTATCAAGACGAATATTCCTCGAATTCCAATCTATATTTATTTGAAATAAAAAAGTACCGTACAAATTTGATTTACTCCTCCCGGAATCCCATCTTCGTCCAGTTGGCCAAAACCTTCTGCTTGAGCTCCTCAGGATACGAGCTCTCAAAATCGGCGGCCTCCCAATCTTTCCCGGTAGTATACTCACAGGGAAGAAGAGCATCAGAGACAACCTTTCCTCCCTGCACCGGCGATCCGTTTCCATGCGACATGTATGGAATAAGGGGGAACCCGCGCACATCCTCGAAGAAGATCTCGTCGAGGCCTGGACGGCAGCGAGTCGAGAAAGCCCACATAACATCCTTGCCATTATAGACATCAATGTCGTCGCCACAAAGCACCAGCCGGTGGATTGTGTAGCCGGCCTTGCAGTTGAAGATCAGGTCGCCAACCCTCTTGGAGAATTGTTTCGGGGTGGTCTTCATTTCCCGCAGCTTTGCGGTGTCGATTCTCAGAGCGACCCAGGTCACTTGGGATTCAAATGGCGCGAAGGCGTCGGTCACCGGGAGACCGGCCTGTTGGCAGATCTTGCGGATCTCGGCAGCGGCAAGTGAGCCGATCATGGTATGCTAATACTTGTTAGTAGGGCACCGGGAAGACAGGGCATTGGGGCGGGTGGCTCACAGTTTCATCGGTTAGTCGACCGCAAGATGACATGGGCATGATGGCATTGTTGCGGTGGGTGATGCGGTTGACCTTGTACTTGGGCCACAGGTGGGTATCTCCAGGGAAGACATAGCCGTGCATCTCACCGAAAGGACCCTCGGGACCCTTGTCCGTGATAGAAAGGGTACCTTCGAAGACAATCTCAGAGGTGGCAGGCACGTAGAGATCGTTGGTATCGCACTTGACCAGATCCAAGGCGGAACCAGTCATGGCACCAACATATCCAGCCTCGGTCACACCATCGGGAATAGGCATGCTCGAGGCCATGATAGCGGCAGGGGGAACACCGAATGCCAGAGCCCACGGAACGTCGCGGCCTTCCTTCTTCCACATCTGGTGGATCTGCCAGATGTGCTGAGGCTCAATGACTAGACCTGTAAGGTGCTTATCGTCGGAGACCATAGCGCGGGCAATAGACCAGTTAGTCCAGGACCCATCGGGGGACTGGACAATGTGCATTCCGTAGGTCTGGATGTACTTTCCTCCATCGGCTTGGTGGATCAAAGGCGCAGGGAGCTTAGTCAAATCAATCTGACTTTCTTCGAGGAAGTTCTCTTTGCAGGGACCGGTGGACACGATGTTGGGTGGGATTGGGGCTATGGTGCTGGCCGAGAGCATCTTGTCAAGGATGTCGCGCATAGATGCGGTCGGCGGCAAAGCCAAGTGTCGTGCAAGTCGACCATAGCGATCCTTTGAGGACTTTCTTAGAGATGCAGGGGCACCCAGAATGCGGAAAAGACCATTTTCAGCACCAATGAGGTTGTTGAAGAGCGGGGCCTTGTCGTCCGTTTCACAGACAAGACGAGTAATAGCGGCCGCTTCGAGGTTAGGGTCAATAGGAGAGTCAATCTCAACTAGATCATTGTCGGCCTTCAAGGCCTCGACAAATGACCGGAAACAGAGGTGAGGCTCAGTGTTGGTCATTGTAAATCTGTCTTGGTAGGTGGAGGTTGTGTATATGTTGAGTGGACTTGGACTTGTAAAGCAGGGCAGTCTTCGACATTCAACCCAGCTTAAATATTCCCGTAAGGTCTTTAGAACGGCAGTCTCGGATCGCCACACATCAAATTCGAGTTACACGGGCCGTTCATCCATGAGAGTTCTGAGGATACCGCACACTTCGGCACTTCGGATGGTGTGGAGATACCCACTCCGAGCCCCGAGCTACCGAGCTACCGAACGACGATCCCTGGAACCCGAGCCCTCATTCTATATTTGTATCGACGGAAAACCGATACTCGGAATCAGATATCGGAATATTTGTCTCAGTGCAGATGGACCAATGCCGATCGGGCCGGCTGTTTCCCTAAAAGGATGCTCACATGGCGTCAGCATTTGGATCGACAGCGGGGAATATGCAAATAAGAGGGGTTGACTCCTAGAAGCACAGAAACAGAAGCAAAACACGCAATGTTCTACCAACCTGGAGTGACTGAGCACAATCTTCCCCACGACCCGTTCAAGGTAGGGCCTTAATATGGACAATAGACGACATAGCTAAAACTGACAGGCGTGCGTGGTGCCTCGTCCGATCGGATGGATCTCCACCCAGAACAAACAGGGCCAAGCCAACTTGGCGCCTTACTCCCAATTCAACAATCTCACATTCGACCCGCCGTACGTGATGTTCTCTTCCAACCAGACCGTGAACGGCACACGTAAGGACACAGTGGTCAATGCGGAGCAGACCGGATGCTTCGTCTGGAACCTGGCGACGTGGGACCTTCGCGAAGCCGTCAACATCTCGGCGGAGCAAGTGCCCTATGGGGTAGACGAGTTTGAGCGTGCCAACGTGACTAAAGAGCCGGCAACGCTGATGGATGTCCCCATGGTGCGGGAGTCGCCGGTGAAATTCGAGTGCGAATATCATTCCACCGTGCGGCTACCGGGAAATCCTCCGATGGGTACCGTGGACGTTGTGATCGGCCGAGTAATTGCCGTGCACATCAAGGACGAGGTGTTGACGGATGGAATCCTGGATATTAAGAAGACAAAGCCCATCGCGCGCTGTGGGTACTATCAGTACACGGTGGTGACGGAAACGTTCGACATGGTGATCCCTGGAATGTCTGAGGATGTGCTATACGGGTTGGAGGGGAGTGCGAAGCGCAATCGCGAGGCCGAATCGCGGCATAAATGATTAGGGGGGATTACTGGCGATTCCACTGTCGAGCATGGTTGAACACCACAGAGTGATTGATGATCGGATCCTAATATCTTGAGTTGCTCTAAAGTTATGTTCAGCTGAGGGTTGCGCAGCTATAGAGACGAGAATTTATACGGTAGTTACATAAGTGGCCACCTCTGATTGAAGAGATAAAATCCCTCATTCACTTGGGAACCGAATCAATCAGTCACCTCACTATATTTCCAAATCCCTGTGAAGCTATTTAGCATCCTACTATGACATACAGATATACCAAAGGATAAGCCCCAACCCAACCCCAAACAGTTACAGCCACACAAATACGACCAGTCCAACCACTTCGAGTCTGAGTAGTTCAATCTCGACATCTACTCACCAACCTCACGATCCACCTCCCAGAACACAAACTGCACAAAGGGCCACCTCATCGCCGCTTGTCGAATCGCCTTACCCCAGAAGAACAGCGGGATGAACCCCGATATAAACGCCACGGAGATACCAGCCATGGCGCAGAATGCGCCTTTGTATCCAGACTGGTCAATCCAGGGGTTTGTGTAGAAGGAGAGAAGGAAGCCGAAGCATGCTTCACAATCATGCCAGTATAAGCTTGAAGGCGTGTAAGATTATGGCGGAGTGGGGGAGGACTCACATTTGAACGCAAGCTGGGTTACAGTGACTTCTCCGGTCACAGGACGGAAACAGTCAACACAGTAGACAAAGGAGACGTTCGTTCCTTGAGTAATGGAGAATGACAAAAGCCCCAACCCCACGGTGGGCACCATCCAATGCCACCTCTCCGCAATCCCAACGCCATACAACACCAAACCTAACGGACACCCAATCAAACTCGGGATGATAGCCGGCAGACGCATCTCGGGCTCACGAATACCTCCATTGCGCCTCGTGAACACATCGGCAACCCAGTCTGAGAACGGCCCGCCGGCAAACGTCCCTAGGAAACAGCCGATGATTCCAGCAATAAAGCACAGTCCGCTCTGCCACGGCTCAAAGCCGTAGGTCGTGTTAAAAGCCGTAGCAAAATTTGATACGACGGCGACGAGGAAGCCGATTGTTACAGACATGACCATTGTCGCCCAGAAGACTGGCGGGATGAGGATCAGCCCGAAGGGACGCACGAACATGCGCCAGACGGGCTCAGATGTGTATGTTTTTCCCGACCAGGGCTTTAGAGTTTGCCAGTAGGATTCTTTGTGGGGGGTGTCTTCGAGTGTGTGGACATTGTCAAGAGAGTCGGTACGTGTGAAGGCCGTTTCGGGGAAGAAGAACACAACGACGATGAGGAGGCCGCCGACGAGCCCGGCACCAACCCAGTATATGCTCCTCCAGGAATTAGAAATTGTCACCAGGCCCGAAATGATAATTCCCAAGCTAACTCCCGCACTGAGAGCTGAGTTGTAGATCCTACACCATTAGCCTCCTCCTATATTGCTAGCAGTATAAAGGTAACTCACGCCATCCCGTACCCCCTCTGATGGAGATAAAATATATCCGCCATAGTCACAGGAGCCAAGCATTCTCCCGCGCCTGCCCCAATTCCCAGAATCGTCCGGGCTGTCAGCTCGCCCACGTAAGTTTTTGCCAGCCCAGCGCCGAGAATCATGAAGAAATACAGGATAAGCGAGGCGATATACACCGGGCGCCGGCCGTACTTGACCACCAGCGGTACCCAGGCTATGCACGACACGCCCTGGAGGAGGGCGCTATTGCTGAAGAAGTAGGCGGCGCGGGCGATCCAGTCGGTCAGCGTAGTGTCTCCACCCTGTTTGAAATCCGTGGCGATTTCGACCATTGCAACGGAGGGGCCCGCGGCCATAAAGTTGCACATTATCATGGCGAGGGAGACCAGGGTGGCGATATAGATTTTGTATGGAGTGGACCTATTCGCGTTAGTCACGACTCACGACATGCGGGATGGAGATGGGATGGAGTTACCATCGTAGAGGATCGTTCGGGTCGAGACTTGGTGCCGGAATGAGGATGAGCTCGTTCGTATGTTCGTGGCGGAGGCGGACATGGCCAAGGGTCTGGTGCTTGAGGGCTTTGGGATCGTCCTCAGTTTGAACCCTCTCTACTTCCTCGTGGGTTGGCTTGTTATGGTTCATCCTTACAGCTCGAGTTCGTGTGTGTTAATTAGATAAATAAGAGTGCTAATATGGTATGCGACTTGTGCTTCGTTTCTTATAACAAGCTGAGCTGAATGAGCACCGGAATGAGGTGCCCACCTCCCGCTGCACTGAACTTAGAGTTTAGATGCACGCTAATTAATCCGGGGTAGAACAATCCATCTTCGGGCCCTCCTCATCGGGCTCATAGCCGAGAACTAAATTAACGGAAAATCATTCACTTGCAACTTTAGCCGATGTGAATATACGGCCTCTATGTCAGGGCTCCTTCCTACCAGATCCTTAACACCTAACACCTGGGGAAAGCTCAAGCTCCGATAATAGCAGATTTTATATACTCATTAAGAACCTCGTGCATACCCCAGGAAGATCCCCAAAGCCCCAGAATACCCCAGGAAAACAAACCCCGTATACCCCCACCTTCCTAGATTCTCCACGTCTGCCGGAGGCTTAATCTCTTCCTGGCCCTCCCCCGCTGTTCATTCCTCCGGGCTTCTTAATTGCAGTTCACGCGACATTTGACGTGCCAGTTCAAGACTTACAGCGCCTTCCTCGTTTAGGCCGCGTCATCAGACTTGTAGTTCTTCCTAAAGCCCCTGCTCTTCATGTGTATGCATGCCCTCGAGGGTTGCGTAAGAAGCTAATGAAGATAAAGCTAAACACTACAGGTAAGGTAGAACTAGAGGATAATTCGGAGGATATAAAGCTAGATAAGGCTTACTATTACTCATATAGACACAGGCGTTAAGACAGAAGTGTAAGAGTCGGAAAGACGATATATTTGAGAACTATTAGCATAAAAGCCTTTCTTTTACCGTTTTATTAAGCAACATTTGATTTAATCAAGGCTTTAATTGTAAAGTAAATACCCTAAATTACGGCTACAAAATGGAGAGTTCATACAATTAGAATTCCTAATATATTTGCCATATTTGTAGCCCAATTTAGGGCCGTAGACCTAGTAGTACTAGGTTACCTATTCCGACCCAAACCCATTACAGTGTCAAAGCCCTCGACCTAAAACCCAAGTAGAAGACTGGGTTGGGTCTGGGTTTTATTCGGTCGTGCGGAAGCCTACATGTAGGTATGGTTAAGAAATGGTATCACTCAATTGGTCCAGCCCCTGAAACATCCGGCACCCCCTCTCCTTCCACCACCTTCGCCCCCATGATCTCGAAAACGGGGACCTCTGCGAGTCGTGAAATGATGTGATAGAGTGTCGGCAATTGTTGCCAATCTAAAGCATCAATTTGTATGCTTGCCTTATCAGTCGTATACACCCTCTGTGGTTGTGGCGTCGGCACGGCCTTGGAGAAGGGGTCGAAGATGGCATATTCTTCCGCAGGAATGTTTTTATTCGCCCGGCCACTCTTGGGCAGGTATTTGTAGGCCAGAATTCCAGCATCGGCTTCTCCGCTTAATGCGCCCGTGGTGGTTGATGGGTCCACTTCAACCAGGTCCTCAAGTAAGAAGTTCCCCCAGAGGGCCCCTTCCCACCCAGTGCGGATGCGATAGGAACTGGAGCGACGGTACACATCGACTGAGGTGTAAAGCTTGGGCATGCCGAGTTCCTCTCGGCCTGAAACGATGGGATCCGTCAAGGACTCGAAAAGGATGGGGAGGTAGGTGCCCTGGATTACCGAGCCATCGTCTTTGACATACTCAACCCCGTGAATGTACAAGCCAATATGCTTGTATCCTGACCCACCCAGCCACTCCATCTTGTTCAGCGTTGTCTGCGAGAATGAGGCGTAAGCAATGGTACCTGGAGATGTGAACCGCCAGCCTTTGCGACCAGGCGGGAGCAGATTCTGCAGCACGGTTCGCGAGGTCTTGAACTTGATTGACGCCGTCGTAAATGTGGACTTGGTGCCGTCGCGTGGTACACCGAGATGGGTCTGTCGTGGTCCGGGCATTGGGCCAAATGCGATGGGCATGCGCCAATAAGGGTTAGGAATCTGATTCCACGTCCACTCACGCAGACGCTGGGTTGAATTATCCCACTCGTCATGCCCAAAGTTGAAGTTGGTGAAGCTGTACACTGGAGTTAAATGAGTCAGTCACGTTTATCCACAGGTAGTTTGCAAGGGTTAGCTTTAGCTTACTGTCCAGCTGCTTGTCGTCTGTACGATCCTCGCCGATGATACGCGAGTATCCTTGAATGCGAGTGGCCCGCTCGTGTCGGATGTCATGGTAGAGTTTGAGTCGCTCGGGCACCTCGGTGGTTGATATCCCTGGAGATAGGACTACCGCCAGCGATATGGCATCCTCAATTGCGACACCGCCGCCCTGACCCTGGTGCGGCAGGAATGGATGGGCCGCGTCCCCGAGCAGAGCCAGACGGCGATGATGCCATTGGGGGACGAGGTCCATGTCCAGGAGCTTCCATACCTTCACACTCTGGGGGTCGGCCTTTCCTATGAGTCGAAGAATGGCCGGGTCGAACCCGTCGAAGATCTGTAACATCTTTTCCAGGTTGCCCTGTTGGCCCCAAGAGTCATCGGTATCTGCCGCGGACTTGTTTTCCGGATGGATCACCACAAAGTTCAGGACAGAATTGTGGGAAGTAGGATACATGATAATGCGCGCATCGCTGCCATACCAGATGCTGAGCTCACCTGGGTGCTGGACGAGCTTGGCCGTGATCGGATCATTCATGGCCACCTCCTTAGAGACCAGGAATCGAAAGGCGCTCTTGCCCCGGCACTCTGCCTTGACCTGGCCCCCAGGCACCGCAGACCGGGTGACCGAGTGCACACCGTCAGCACCGAGCACCACGTCGCCTTGGAACTGGCTGCCATCTTCTAGCGTGATGGTTGCTGTCTCGGCGTCGATCTGAGCAACACGAGAACCCGTTCGAAGGGGGATTGCGTTGTGGGTTTTCGTGGCAGTCGTGGCGATCCCTTTTAAATTGTTGTGGAGGTCAATGCGGTGCGCGAGAAGCCAGGGGTGTTGCCACTTCTTGTTCGACTCCGTTAGGTCTAACACCCGTTGCAGTTCTCCTGTCGCGCTATACTCCGTGAGCTGGAGGCTCAGGTTAGCAACACATCCACGGCGTCCCACTAGCGAGGGAGGGCCTTACTCGTTCCATGGGGTTAGCTCCAAATTGCTCTGCAAAAATACCCAAACGCCGGAGGAGGCCATTTGCATTAGGGGCTAAGTGAATGGCTGCCCCCATCTCCGTGGCTAGATGCGATTGCTCAAATATTTGAATGTCATGTCCCTGGTTGCGCAATGCAATGGCTGCGGTCAGCCCACCAATGCCAGCACCAACGATCAAGACCTTTAGGGGTCTCGTCTCATCAGAAGCATGGGCGGTAATTCCATTCGTGGTCGTCATCATGCGAGTCAAGTCAATCGAGGTAGGGGAGACGATGTTCAACAATGCAAAAAATATGTTAGAGAGCAGCTCCTTGGTCGCAATAAATGTCTGCCTCATACTACTTCATACTTCATACGTCTGGTCTAGTGTGGCCCGTCGACCCCCTTCCCCCACCCTCCCCTCTTCAAAATGCAATCCGGGGCGGGTATGTCGGACTGTCGGGACCACATCGGCTGGAGTTAACCTCAATCGCTTAGAACTCCGAACTCTGCGGAAATTGCTGCCTCGGGTATTTCTCAATCCAGATTTCAGTGACTTCTGCAAGTGGCAGATTATGGGTTAGTCGCACTTCTCCGTATCCCTCCTTGAGAGAATGTCCTCGCCCTGGCGCATACCCCCCGAGCTAAGTGTAATATATTCAATCTGGTAGAATATGAATTATGAATTCCGAAGCTCTACCAAACAATCGTACTACTAAGGCAGTAAAGTAATGCTGAAAGCAGAAAGGTCTGATGTCTTGATTTGTAGTCAAGAAGTTGGGCTTAAATATACGTTAGATATGGGCTCTGGAAATTCAAAATAATCAAGACTTTAGTAATATTCTCTGATATCAACTAGCAGGGATCTCTGTAGTGGCTACTCAGGTTGGGAATACCCTATTCATTAAGTTCAAGACACGAAAACGTTCATGGATGCCACTACTCTGATATATGAATAGACAAAGCTAGGTTCCAGGCAGTCCACTAAGCACTCTCGACCAACGTCTACGAGTCTCCTTTCGCAGTATTGATCCAGGCAAACTGATCTTTCAAGTGCAGATGGGCGCGGAGATCTCCAGAGCGCGCATGGCCCTCAAAGTTCTCCACCCGAGCTGCTCGTCCGCAGAGCCGACCTAATTCGCCGCTGGCCACGTCGTTCCTAACTTCTTGATATGTCACGGTGCGCAGGTACTTGCCTATCCACAGGCCTCCCGTGTATCTGGCGGCCTTTCGAGTAGGTAGAACATGGTTGGTTCCAATAACCTAGTCAATGTTAGTTACTGCGGAAGCTTCATCATCACAGGAGCAGTGAGGGACCGACTTTGTCACCGTAGGAGACGCAAGTATTCTCTCCAAGAAAGAGAGCACCGTAAGCAGTCATGTTGTCCAACGCATCGCGTGGCCGACGCGTGAAGATCTGTACGTGTTCACTGGCATACTCGTCCCCCAGCTTCCAGGCTTCCTCAATCGAGTCTACGACAATCACTTCTCCATGTTGTGCCCATGAAACACCAGCAACATCCGCCGTGCTCAAGCCTTTGAGGATCTCATCAATGATACGGATAGACTCGCGCGCAACGTGTTCAGAAGTGGTAATCACCACTGAGGGCGAGTCTGGTCCATGCTCTGCCTGCGACAGGATATCTGTTGCGACAGTGAATGGATTGGCGGTCTCATCCGTGATGATGAGGATCTCTGTCGGACCAGCAAATAAGTCAATACCAATCTCACCAAATAGCTGGCGCTTGCCTTCTGCGACGAAGGCATTTCCTGGTCCAGCAATAAAGTCAACCTTTCGAATAGATTCCGTGCCCAAGGCCATTGCTGCGACTGCCTGTACCCCCCCTAGCAGGTAGATCTCGTCGGCGCCTGCGAGATGCATTGCAGCAACGGTAGCATGCGGTACTTTGCCAGCAATGGGGGGTGTGCAACCAATAACATGAGGGACACCTGCAACCTTCGCTGTGAGTATAGTCATATGGGCTGAGGCAAGGAGAGGGTATCGTCCGCCGGGAATATAGCTATCCAATGTCAGATCAAGAAAGTTCATCACTGTTTAAGATGCTCCACATGGCTTACGCTCCGACCGTGTTGATGGGGATGTTCTTTTGACCAAGTATAACGCCCTAGAACGGTTAGAGAATCCATTCCGCATTTCCCTTGCCTCTCTACGTAATGAAGGAAACTTACTGGCTGACTTTCAAACTCAAAGTCTTTGAGGGAATCCTTTTGAGCCTGGGCAAAAGCGCGCACATTATGCTGCACTTTTTTTATATCCTCAATGGTTTGCGCGGAACACTGCGCAATGGACGCTTCAACGTCTGCTTGGGAGAGCTTGAACGAGGCCGGAGACCACTTGTCGAATTTCTCTGAGTACTTGCGCACAGCAGCGTCGCCGTTGGCACGCACATCATCAATGACGCTGCGAACGATAGAGTCAACGTCCACCTGCGCTGAACCCGGAACGGGGGACTGCTTGGACTTGAGGAATCTGGCGGGCATATTGTGGGAGATAGGTTATTTGACGAGAATCTCAATTGAGCTGTGTCCTTTTTGTTTGACGTAGGACTAATTTCGAGGTTGCACCATCTCTTATGAGGAGCAAGATCGTAGAGTAAGGAAGTAGAGATTCCGTCGCAGTCGGCTCCACCTTGCCGGCGTCAGGTGTAATGCTGTGCTTCCATTAACCGCACGAGGATATTTCTTCCCGCTGATCGGAACAAAGTCCGTGTTGGTTTGCAGTCATCTATCTGGTAGCTCACATCGGGCTTCTTTCCGACATGAACAGCAATCCCTCCTGGGGGCTTTACGTCTTGCCGCTCCTACTATAGCTGATAAGCCTTTGGACGATCAGCGAAGAAGTTCTGAATAGCTATTTCCTACGCCAGACAATAATTTACTGTAGTAGCGAGTAGCGAAGCTGACCACCAATCCGTATATATGATAGTCTAGTAAAGTCTCTATTTCACATTGGATTGTTCCCAGGTATTTCATTTCGACGGCTTCACGTCATCCATTCCACCGCCGTAATCCTCCTGCAAAGCCTTCCCATTGATTTCCAGCGGTTTTGCCTCCTGTAGGACATATAGCATACGTGCCCAAGTTGTCGCGCTCGGGTTCTTCCATGCATGATTGGTGCCACGCTGCACCGCGATATCCCCTCGTTTGAGTAGTCGTGTCGCCCCGGAGTCGAGTATCAGCTCTACTTCCCCCTCCAAGACAACCCCATAGTCTAAACTAACAGTGCGATGCATCGGCGAGATCGATCCGGGGTTCATGTCGACCATCCGCAGGACGGTGCCGCCGGGGATGGTGATACCAGGCAGATCTTCTAGGTTGGACTTGTAGACACTGAGGTCCTTGTCATCGCTGAGCTGGACGGGGGTTTCATTGGTCGCATATGCCAGGGAGAAGAGGGCTCCATTGGCCATCTGCTGCCATTTCAGGGCCTCGGGGATCTGCTCTTGGAAGCCCGTCACGCCGTTGGCGTCGTGGTTGGTGATGTAGCGTTTAACGGAGCGCAATGCGTTGTCATCCATTTTGCGGGGATGAGCTGTTCAAGGTTCAGAGGAGGATGAAGAGACCAACAGCTCCAAAAAGATTCATGGGGTTTTCAAATGCCAGCTCATGTCTCGGGCCTTCGTTGGGGGTAAACCCCCGGGTTAGTGGAGCCGAACGCCTCCGCATCGGCTCTCCAACGACCATGTCATACAACTAGCTTCTATTCCCTTACTACCTAGAGACAAGTAGGAATGATGGATTTTCCCAGAGTTGCACTTGTTACCGGAGCGTCACGTGGAGTTGGTGCTGCTGTCGCACGCACCCTGGCTGCCCAGGGCAACACGCGCATCGTTATTAACTATCATAAAAACGCTACGGCAGCTGAACAGCTAATCACCGAACTGACCAAGCTGCGGAGTCAGTCCAGTGATGGCACAGTCGGCAATCAGTGCCCTTGGTTCACTGCCATACAGGCTGACATAGCCAGTCGGGCGGAAATGACGCGACTTGTACAACAGACTGTGGATCGGATGGGCCGCCTAGACGTTGTTGTCTCGAATGTAGGATGGACGCGGATGACAGACTTTATGAACCTGGAAGATGCGGATAATGAGGCAGACTGGGATCGATGTTTCGATGTCAACGTCAAGAGCCACTTCCGTCTGTTCCGGGCCTGCCAGCCATACCTGGAAAGCAGCGAAGGGGTATTCATTGCCACGGCGAGCGTGGCCGGAGTCAAGCCTAGTGGAAGCTCATTGGTGTGTTTGCTCACTATACGAACGCTGAGTAGGCGCTAACATGCACACAGGCATATGCTGTAACCAAGGCGGCACTCATCCACTTGGTCAAGAGTTTAGCCGTCATCGCTGGGCCAAAGATCCGTGTCAACTCGGTGGCACCAGGAGTTCTCATGACGGTGAGTCTTTCCTTTGGTTTTTTCGAACTACAAGCTGATGGAGACAAGGACTGGGGACAGGGGTTTCCTGCTGAGAAGATCCAGGCCGTGCAGGAGAAGAATGTGCTAAAGCGACTCGCAACGCCTGAGGTACGTCTCTTTGGAGAACTCTCCATGTAGCGCTGCTAACACGGACATAGGACGTTGCGGAACACGTAAAGTTTCTTTCCATGTCTCGGTCAATCACTGGGATGAATGCTGTGATTGATGCTGGTTTTTCGCTTTAGTTATACAACAAAATACATAGTTTAAGGGACGTGCAGCGACTAGACCACGACATTAGACTCTCCTACAAACAGCAAATATATAACACACCATTAAACACACAAGAGACCTCCTCCTTGATAATTCCCGCTGAGATATAATCAACCCCTCCCTTGGCACCGGGCTATGGACTGAGCGGGGCAGCTTTCACCCACAATATCCGCGATCTAACCAGAGGATTAACGCTGGCGAAGTAGATGCAAACTAGGCCAGTTCATATCAACAGCATGAGTAGACCTCCGCAAGGCGCAACCCGCGCCAACCCACTAATAGGCCGGGTTTTGGGCCCAGTCTTTAGGCCTACCGGTGGGCTGTAGGCCCAGGGTGAAAGCCCACTGGGATTTGAATAGGGCCCAAATAGGGCCCAACAAGCACCAAACCATACAAACATTCCCAAAAACATGACTTTTTTAATTACCCTATGTTTAGACCCTATTTCTAGCCTTTATTTTCAGGTAATATTTTATTATTTTAATTTCTGTACTTTTAGTTATTAGTTCAATTGGTGTATCGCGTTTAAAAAGCAAGAAAACGCTTTACATAGATAATTCTATAAATTTAAACTCTATATGATATGTGGAATGTTAGTATACAACGATTATAAGATACTAATTAAACTTCCTAAATGGGCTATAATAGGGGTTTTATGGGCCTCTACGAATGGGCTGTGGGTTGGGCTTCAGGCCTGGGGTCCGGGCCCATTTACGGGCTTTGCGGAGGTCCAAGCATGAGTGTGCGCAATGAACCCAGTCTCCCTCAAGGCAGCATCAAAATCAGCGAATGGGGTCAGTCCAATGTCCAATGCCGACATGGGCCTGGAAAAATTCTTCCAGACAATAGCCATCTCGTTCAAGCGCAAAAACCGTCGGCTAGAGTATTCGGAATCTTAGCGGCTATCTCGAAGTGGTCCCGACGACCGGGAAAGGGCGGGGGAGGTCACATGTATGAATGCGATATATAGCTGAACATAAGAGAGAAATTGCCTGGATTGAAGCTGCAGCTGATCTTAATTTTGCTTTCTTCAGTCCTTGCTCCACGTCAATCAAACTTTGCCACAATGCCTAATTTTATTCGCGATATCCAGAAGACGGACACTACCTCGTTCCCATACATCTTCGAGCAGAATGTCACCGTTCGAACCAAGGTGGCCGGTGGTCTCATTCGCTGCAATGTATATCGACCCAAGACCGACGCGCGCTTTCCAGTGATCGTGACCTACGGACCCTATGGGAAGGACATCCATTATGAAATGTAACCAGCCAGAACTCTCCGCAGAAGCTCCTCATACTGGCCTTGGTTACTGATGTGCTGAACTAGATTCCATCCCTCCTCCTTCGCCGAAGTCAATCCGGAGCACCACTCGGCACATTCAGCATGGGAAACACCTGATCCCGGATTCTGGACCCGCCACGGTTATGCGGTAGTGCGCGCTGACGAGCGAGGCCTTGGTCAATCGCCAGGCGTATTGGATACCATGTCCCGAGGAACGAGTGAAGCTTTCTTCGACCTGATCGAATGGGCGGCGGAGCAAAAATGGTCCTCAGGAAAGGTTGGTCTGCTGGGTATCAGGTGAGATTTCTCCGTTCCTGTACTTTGTATGGAGCTGACTCCCTAGGCAGCTACTACGGAGGTAGTCAGTGGCGCGTCGCTGCACGGCAGCCCAAAGGTCTCGCAGCTGTCATCCCTTGGGAGGGGATGTCAGACTACTATCGCGATCGCTGTCGACAAGGTGGCATTCTGTCTAATGGCTTCATCAAATTCTGGTGGAATCGTCAGGTCATCACCAACCAGTACGGGGGCCCAGGACGTGCTGCACGTAACTGGGGGCCCGACACCATCGAGGGTGATCTACCAAAAGAGGAACTGGCTGCAAACCGTCGCGATCAAACGCAGGACAATGTGGCGAACAGATTCCGCGATGAGCCATACTACGCCTCCAAAGAGTATACCATGAGTGATATACAAGTGCCTGTGCTTAGCGTTGCCAACTGGGGTGGAATTTGTCTACATCTGCGTGGCAATGTCGAGGGCTGGACTTGGGCAGGATCCCCCCTGAAATACTTGCGCTTCATTACCGGTCGGCACGATCTGCCCTTCTACTACCACGCGGAGGTGGAAGTCCAGCGCAGCTTCCTGGATGCTTTCCTCAAAGGTGAGGATCGTGAGGGCTGGAGTGTCCCTGGCAAGCTGGCCCCGGTCAGCATTATCCTGCGCAAAGGGGACGTTGGCTTCAACGATGCGAAAGCCGAGCAGGCCTACCTCCGGCGGAGTGAGAATGAGTGGCCCATTGCCCGGACGCAGTACACTCCCTTCTTCCTGCACCCCGACGGAAGGTTAACCATTGATGAGACCGCAGTCAAGGACTTGCCTGTGACAAAAATCTCTTATCCTGCTCTGGGCACCCTCGACAACCCGCAGCTGCTGAGGGTTGAGACGGAGCCTTTCACGCAAGAGACAGAGATTACTGGTCACATTGTAGCACATCTGAATGTTTCGGTCACCCCGTACCCAGACAGTGAGATTATCCCCTCCGACATTGATCTTTTCCTCACGCTGCGACATATCTCTCCAGCTGGTCAGGAGGTCTTTTATACAGGCACTGCCGGCGACCCTGTGCCTCTGACAAAGGGCTGGCTACGTGTCAGTTTGCGTAAGACTGATCCCAATCACCACAAGCACCGAGCATGGCTGCCGCACCGAAACTACGTGAGCACGGACGTGGAGCCAGTTATTGTGGGTGATGTATACACCGTGGACGTTGAGATTTGGCCAACAAACGTCGTGGTGGAACGGGGAGGCAAAATCGTTTTGGAAGTTGCCTCAGGCGATACGCAGGGATGCGGCGTCTTCCAGCATGACTCCCCAATTGATCGGTAAGTATTCCATCAACTGCGAATGCGAAACGATAACTGACCATTGAGCAATTGAATAGGTCAAAGGAGAAGTTTCATGGGCTCAACCACATACATTTCGGACCTCAGTTTCAAAACTACGTCTCCTTGCCCATCATTCCGCCAAAGGATGACTGAATAGTGAGCTAGATTCATTGTTTATATGTATATAGCATGTCTGAAACCATATTCTATACAGAAAATGAATTATATGTCATGATATACTTTCGACTATCAGCTACGCACTCAAAATTCGCCGCCTAGCTTGTATCTAAACAAATTTTCAGACAGTCGCTCCCCGGTGACCTTCCACAGGCGGTTTGCCATCTGTCACAATTAGCACATACATCTCCGGCATGTGGGCACAAGCAGGCACCACTCACCACATTCATTTCCAATCCGGTAAACATTATGGTCAAAAATGCTCGCTCTCCCAGACTTGTGTACACCCTTCGCTGGCTTTGGTCGAGATGCCGATTAATCGGCCGGTACGGTGGGATACGGCGATAGTCATCTGGCCACCCAGCAGGGCTATGGGCTCTAATTTCTCCGGCAGTGGCTCCGGTCCCAACCTGCTGCGAGGAAGAGTTCGAGGTAGCCACGTTGGACTCGTATACATCGTAGTCTGCTGGGTATCCCCGCACCCGAAGTCGGGCAGTGCGAATACTGGCAGCGGAAGCGGTAGCGGTGGTAGATGTTGATGCAGATGAAAGCATGTTGAAAGGCCTGTTTTTCCGTGGTTGTCCGTGTGGTAAAAACAGCTAAAAAGCAAATGTGATATAAATGGCCAGACGGAAATGGAGACGTAGACTTGCCCCGGCATCGGGAATGTGGCCCACCTCCCCCCGAAGGAACATCACACCCCACGTCTAAGACCACGGATCGGAGGAGATCAAAGGATTCAAAGCTCGCATCTTTGACCGTGGAAGGATTTCATCATTCGCTCAATCATTCACCATGGCTGCCTCCCTTCGAGCTGTTCGTGAGGCTGTCCTGGATGGTCGCATGCACAACATATTCACTCGTCGAACCCAGCTAGAGGCCCTTCAGCAAACACTGCTTGACAGAGCTGATGCCATTCAGGACGCCATCCTCGCTGACACTAGTTATGTCGCCTCCGAGGCCGCCGTGGAATATCTCCTCACTCTAAATACCTTAAAGGAGTATCATAAGTCTTTGAATATCGACCGCGCACTCCAGGATGAGTATGCCATTGCAAGGGGGGAGGATGCTGCCAACCGACGGGACCCCGTGGGGATTGTATACATTGTTCCGACGAGCTATACAATCTTCTACTCAGTCCTAGTCGCCGTCGCTGGCGCGCTTACTGCTGGTAATTGCATCGTTATTGAAGTATGACACACTCTCGACAGTCAACAGGGTACACCTCGCTAACCCTGGCATCTACAAAGCTATCCAACTCTCTTCAAGTCCTTCCTGTGTTGATCAAGAAGCTCCTGGAGTCGTCGCTTGATCGCAGTACTATCGCATTCGTCTCGACTCCAGCAACAGACGAGGATCTCGGACCGCAACATATGCGCCTTCATCAAGATGATCACCGACCCGGTAAAGTAGTGGCTGTTGTGGATCGCACAGCACACATCAATCACGCAGCTGAGGTAATCGTAGCAGCCCGGTTCAGCTTCGGTGGCCGGTCGCCCTACGCACCCGACCTAGTCCTTGTCAATGAATACATCAAGGAGGCGTTTCTGATGGCCTTGGTGCAGGCGAGTGTGTCCTTTCTGCCGAGCGCAGGTGCAATACAAGGAAGCGAGCGACGTCAAGGAAAAGAAGACCAAGAGGAAAGAGGGGGACTGCGGACCGTATCATCCCTGGGCAGGGGCAAAATTGTGGAAGCAGACCGACTGTATAGCTATCATCACTCTTCCCAAAACCGACGACTCCTGCTAATAAAGAACGCGTAATAGAGATCCCAAAGCGCTGCCGGATAAACCTACTGACGGCCGATTGTTGGTGCATACCGTGCGCTCGTTAGATCATGCCATCGATTTGTCAAATATGTGAGTGAACAGCATGTTCATAAAAACCAGAAACTGACTGATCTATTAGGGTCGGAAACCTCCGGGGGGCGTACGTCTTCGCTCACGAGAAGTCTGCCAAATATTTGGCGCAGTTCATTAATGCGGATGTCTCGTTTGTCAACCACATCCCTGTGGAAGTCCTGGGTAAGGGAATCGCATTTAAACAACATATAAATAACATTTATAAGGCTAATATAATTTTATTCCTTTTAGTGGGACCCACTCCCCCCGAACAAGTGGCCTTGGACCGATCAATGCGATATCCTACCACGATCTTCTCTGTTCCTCGCCCGCATTATATCCGCCCTACTCTACTATCGCAATCAGTCACAGATATTCTACGTATCAAATCAGTCTCAACCTTGCGGAGTACACTGGCCTTGCAGTCGAGTGAACTGGTCTCCCCAGCTCAGCGGCCCTTGGGTGGAGGCGTAGGGTTCTTTGAGCAAGGTATTCTGATAGGGCTGGGTTTGTTCTCGATCCCGATGCTCGTGGGGGTGAGTGCTCTGGGCTATTGGACGTGGAACATGGTGCAAAAGCATGGATCTCGCATGTAATATTCTAAGATAGTAGTCATTGGCTTTTGCGGGATATAAATATGCATAGTAATAGTATTATCTATTCAATGATTATCTGCCGGGACCATGTAGTCACCTCGAGTAGCTTCTGAACAGAATGCACAACATTCTTCACCAGAGGGGGCTCATGGGCATCGGGGCCGCTATGATTATGGTACATCAACCGAAGGGTCAGGGTCAGAACTGTTGTTGGATCGCACAAGTCTACGGCGGAAACTTCAGGGGTATCCCCATGCAGCATTGGCTGACCTCGCCCAAAGGAAATGAACCTCTGCACATGTTCGGTTTCAGGGGAATCAAGCCAAATAGGCACCTTCGTAGTGGTTGTGCCAGTTAGATCCGCTACTCCCATACCATATGCCCAAATCACTAGAGTCGAATGATACAGGGCAACGGCGGTGAAGTCGCGTAAATATTGCGGTTCCAGCGCCCGAATCTCACGGATGATTTGGGCTGCATGCCACACAGCCTGGCGGCCTTCCTTGCTCTCTGACCATGCCTCGATTGCAGGGGGAATCCGGTCTACTGATTCAGACTGCTCAAATGAGACCGCGAAAAGCTGGATCTCTTCGAGGGACATGTGCATATGCATCAGGGTGCTGTGCCAGTACAAGGCGTTCTCATTTTTGTACCCAATGCCAAAATAGTTTAGCATCTCAGTGAGCTGCTGGTGCCGCGATGCCATGAGCAAGCCGCCAGACCGGAGTCCAGAATGACCGAGTATGGTGCTACTATGGCTGTTGCTACTGTTACTGCTACTGCTAGTAAGCAAACTCATCTGTCGGTACTCCCAGATTAAACCCCATAGAGCGTGCAGTACGGCGGTGCAGGACAGCCTCATGTCTATCATGTGGCGGTGGCTCTCAAGTAGATCCATGTTCAACACACACTCTGTGAGACGTATTTGGCGTGAGACATATTGGCTCCTAGCTTGCTGGGCACAGAAAATTTCTTTCCACTGTGTTGCATCAGGAGCGTTCCACAGAGCCGGGCAAGCCGGAAGAGGAAGTGATAACTCGGCGTAGGACATAAGGGGGCTGGTCAGAAGCATCATGGAACAATGTGCATCGTGTTGCCATAATTGGTAGACTAGACGCTTGATAGACTCCTCTCGGATCCAGAGCCTCCATTTATCCTCCAGGATTTGGTCTGTGTCGACTGGATGCACTGTGATAAGCGGATATCTGGCGGCATCAAACCGGCCCCGGCGTCGCAGCATGGTAATCAATGGGTAGCGGAAACTCTCGGAGATTTCCATCTTGCGACTGTTGGCACTCCATAGGCTGATCTCGAGACATAGAAGAAACGCTTGATGCAGCTCGAGATCCCGGATGAGGGTGTTGTCGGCCTCGAATACCGCGGGAAGTCGATGTCGGACAACCTCCTGCATTGCAAACCCGAGCTTCCGCAATGTCAAATCGGGAGTAAGCACTGCACCCGCCGCAGCCATGGCAAGCAAGAGTTCCGCGCGAGACTGATTGGGTGTGAACGTGCTTCGATGGATCCAAGCGCCCGCGCTGGAAAAGGGCACGGTTAGAAAATATCGAATGAGGCGATCCAACAGCTCGGGAGAAGGGAATGAGGCCGCGTTTAGCGAGAAGGGCTGTGGCATCTGGCTCAGCATAATACTCAAAATCTTGTCGCGAGAAGCCAGGTCGAGGCAATTATCAGGACCAGGTCCCATGTCCAGATTCCGGAGACTCTTTGGGGGGGTATCGGGCCCGACCTGGCCGCCGAGTAACAAGTTGCCGTGTTCAGCATAGCCATGATCTTGAGGCACAGGCACGAACCGCCATCGAAGGCGTTGCACGGACTGATCCTCTCTCGCTGCATGATCTGGCTGGGAGGCTTCGTTTTCGACAGCATGCACCAACGGTGCGAGAGTGGACGCCGTGACCGCTTCGTACTCGAAGGGGGCACGCGCGTTGTATGACTCGAGGAAACTAAGGTCGACCATACTAAGATCGAGATTAGTCTCTAGACCAAATGCGACCAATCCCCCCCGGGTAATCGGGGAGAGATCTGGTGACGAGTCATCCTGGTCTGGAGGGAGTACGGCGGAATATGCTCCCAACACGGCATCCGACCTCGCCGTCAAGTCTGCTCCTACATCGGTCGCCCGACTTGCTGCCAGCTGGGACAAGTTGCCCGGATTCACTGATTCTATTTGATTGCTGATGCCTAATGGTGCGCAGGGCCCACCGACAACCTGTGGCTGTTGTGGCTGCTGTGGCTGCTGTGGCTGCTGTAATGGCGATGATGAATTCCCGTCATTGCCGGGAGATTTTGTCTCTAGCCGAGTCACCGGAGTCGGCAGAGTACCCTCCACAGATCCAGTGGGTAGGCTACAACGAATCCCTTTCCGTTGACATCGACGGCAGGGCTTTTCGTCATCGCAGCGGAGGTGATTCTCGGCACACCCCTCGCAAGCCTGCGACACGCGGACTGGCGCACTATTACCCTCGGTACAGCGTCGCTTCGTGGTGGCCGACTCTCTGTGGGGGTCATGAAGAGCTGAATGGCGGGACAATAGGTCACTATGTCCGTACGTCAGTGTGTTGACAGGTCTTGTCTAATGACCGAGGGAATGGGCCTCACACGCGACCGAACCGCTTATTGCACACGGAGCAACGGTAAGGCTTCTCCTGGGTGTCTACATGGGCGCAGTCAAGTCAGCCAGCACGTCGGACAGGAGGGCCCGAGAGATGAACGTACGGGAGCGGACGTGGCGACCTAGATGGTCAATGCGGGTGAAGGATTGTGAACAGGTTCCACACTGGAACAGGTTGGTGGGCATGGAGTTCGGGGGAGCGCGTGGAGAAGCCATCAATGATCAAACCAACGGGTATCGTATGATTTTGTCAAGCTGAACGAGAGGCGGAGGATAAGTATACAGTACCTTCTAAACGCGGGGAAAGTGGTCCCGCTTTCGGGGTGTGGGGTAGAGTTACCGAATGATGGGGATGTGCAATACAAACTTGATAAAAAAGAAGCCACACAAAAGCTACATCCTAACCAAACATCCTAGAATATCATCATCGTCGGCATCAGATTACTCCGCTATGTGTAAGTACAGTCTCAATTGATTCTGCTTGAATTCGCTGTCTGATCTCACTCCTCAGCGCTCACACCTGTGCATTTCTTTTCTCATGGCTCGACCATGATGCTGGGGGAAGAATCCGAGTCCGCCGACTACTGGAAGAAATGCGGAGATGAGGCCCTAGCCTATGGCATTAAGGGTGTGATCATCATGGTATGCTTCCCGCTCCCCGGCGAGACTATGTATTGACGCTGGAAGAGGGTGCCCACTGGGGCTGCTCAGGAAACAACCGCCTCGAAGTTGCGATGAATCCCCGTCCCGCCAAGTCTCCCGTGGCGTATGTGCACCCTTCCAAGTACATAGACTACGAGCTTGTGCCGGATCTTGATAGTGGGCGCAAGTGTATCGACCTTCTATCCGCCGAGGGCTTTGACGTGCACGCCAACGAGAGCTTGGAATGGATTCACGATACCTATCTGATCCTTATTCGCATGTTTCCTGATCGGTGCCCCCCAACAACCATTATATCCACCAACGTGCAATATGATCCACACTTCCACATGCGTGCTGGTACGGCTCTACGGCCACTACGCGAGCAGAACTACCTGATCATTGGGACTGGTGGGGCGGTACATAACCTGTATCGCAATGTCTGGGGGCCTATGTTGCGATATGGTGACAATTTTTCCCAGGAAACGCCACCTGAGAAATGGGCTCTAGATTTTCGCCAGGCAGTAGAAGACGCCCTAACAAACAACAGCGGGCCTGCTCTCCGCCGGGCCATGACTCGGCTCATGAAGCATCCTCATTTTCGAGACGCTCATGCCACGGATGACCACTACATGCCTGCTGTATTCGTGGCTGGGGCAGCCGGCAGCGAAGCCGATTTGGGGACAACCGGAAGGCTAATGGCAGAAACATGGGAGCTGACAAACATGTGCAATTCCCAATTCACCATCGGGGAGTGGCCCCAGGTATCATAAATACCCGCTTAATGTACTTTCTCCGTGCTGCTCTGCCATAGTTAATCTAAGCACTTTTTTATGGTATGCTTCGTACCAGTGGCCAGCTGGTATCCGGGTATAAACACTCTCAACTAGGTATTGCAACCTTAGCTTTTGACAGATAGCTTCAATTTACAGTATATAGTATAGAGCGATGTCAAAAGCGGTCTAAACCAGACATAATTCAGGCACTAACTCTTCCAATTCAAGCACTCAACCCTTGGCCGATATACCCTAGCGTCTAGCTTGGTGGAGGTAGTGTGCATTTCTTGCCATATGACAGAACAGTATATTCAGTTGTCTTTTTTCAACAAACTATTGCTTTGTGCTTAATCAATAAACAGCCCACCAGATGCAACGATATGAGCACCGTTGATCCAACGTGCCCTTTCCTCACACAGAAACCCGACGGCGAAGGAAATCTCCTCGGGCTCTGCCATTCTCGGTCCCACTGGTGTGCACTCAATAATTGGTTGAAGTAATTTCATTTGCTCTTCACCGGCAGCAGCAAAGCCTTCGGTTTTTGTTGGCCCCGGACTGACTGCGTTTACAGTGCACCCATACTTCGGGGGAAGTTCCTTTGCCCTAGTTCTGATCAGTGATTTATAATGACTCAGTATCGAGAAGAACATACCAGCACTTGGTAAAAGAATCTACCATTCCCTTGGTGCCCGCATAAATTGTCTGGTTGGGCGGAGGACCCCGAGCGGAAATACTGACAATGTTGACAATCCTCCCACTGCCTTTGGTGAGATGTGGGAGACAGGCTTTCGTCAGAAGAAATGTTCCCCGGCCATTTATGTTTACCAAAAGGTCCCAGTCTTCGAGCGTCTGCTCTTCCAGTGGCTTGTTAACTGCCAATGCAACGCAATTCACGAGGATGTCAATCTTTCCCCAGCGTGCGACAGCAGCATCGACCAGCTTTTGTGGGGCAGCCGTAGTTGACATGTCGGCCTCTACTACGACTGATGGACAGGGTAGAGACGCAGCTACCCCGTCTGCTTCTGCCTTTAGGTGGGAGAATGGATAATTGACAACGGTATTGGCCCCCCTCGTAGATAACTCGCGAACAATCGCTGCCCCTATACCAGACGAGGAGCCACTGACAATGGCAACTTTGCCTGATAAAGTTTTGTTGTCCATGTTGAAGAAGTGTTTTGGCGATGAGGCTGGGCGTGAAGGGCGTTTAGGTCGCCGTCTCGTTCACGCTTAGATGGGACCGTCCAAGAATAATTGGAACTGATGTCAAATTTGGGAGGAGCTTGGTTGGTCTGAACGAATCAAGTGACAAAATATGCTGCAGCTCGCCATATAGGAGTGCTGCTCCCCTGGTGGAGTTCGGCCCCGATTTGCGCCCTTTCAAGACTAGACCTCGGCAAACCCCAAGATGGGTCACCAGGAACACCTTGAACCCAAAACTTAGTTGGATTACCCGGAACACCTGCCGATGTCTATCCAAGACATTTGTAAGCTGGTCAACATGACCTCGGAAATATCCCCACATCCCGACTATATTGTCCTTCACGGGAACTTCTCCACACAGCCTAAATCCCCGGATTTTGGCCTTAACCAGTGCTGGGTTGTAGTTCAGAGGGACAATCATGATTGTTCGCATGACCCATTAATACTATCCCATCTTTTTATCGAATAGTCAACCAACTTCATCCAAGTGACAAATCTCTCTTCTACCGAATGAAAGCAATGGACTTCGTTCTCAATAACCAAGTAAAGTCTCAGATTCTGTGTTTTGTTTGGATTGGATCACCTGTAAAACATAAAATAGGGTAAACAGTGTACGAGAGTAGAAACAGCTTCGTCCTTTCATAACTTAACGTCAACCAAACCGGATCTTGGTGGCTGACAAGGGACAGAGAGCAGAAATGACGATGAAAGAATATGCATTGTATATGACTGTTGACATAATTTCTGATCTATGTAACTGCAGCCGGAATACCTTGCGAACATATGCCGTAATCTTGGGCTCTTCCTTCGTTTCCACCATCACATTTTCCATTGGTGAGCATTGTCCAGCCCATTCGTGCCGGAAAGATCCCCTTGGTCCAAATAGCCACAAATTCTACCCTGGGGATCGAAACTGCGTCGAATCTCCATCAGTCGCGTAGCATTTTCATCAGACCAGTATTTGCTCTTGCGGACTTGGAAGTCGGAATCTCCTAGGTATGCTCCGACCGAGTGTCTCTCTACCTTCTTCATCACATTGCGGACCCATTCCAGGCAGCGAGTGTCATCTTTTTCTTCCTCCCATATAGTATAGAGAGCAAAATAATGGTCGGATTGCATGCTGAGGGCCATATTTGGGAGCTTCCGCCGACTACACGGGTTCATCGCATACCATAGCGAAAACGCTTTCTTGTGGGGGAGAGTAGTAAATGCCTCCTCAAGTACACTAGGCACATCGGCATCGTTTTGGATATACGCATTATCTGCACAGTAGCGGTGCTTTTCCGGGTTCTTCTCTCCTTGGTTGATATATTGCTTCTCAAGACTGTCCTCTTGACAAAACCATTCTTCAATAGTGCCGACTGGTCTTGTCTCTTGGGCGGAACGGAGGGCTGCTTCTGCTTCGTCCGGTTCATTCTTCATCGTAACAAAAAGGACGAAAAAGACCATCGCGGAGTCACTATCCGGATGATGGGCGATGGCCGCAATTTCAGTGTCCTGGTCGAAGCCAGGAGATATGTCCAGAACCCATTGAAATGCTTCGCGGTACATGGAAATGGGATAGATGTAACCCGATGATCGGAATCCTCGCTTCGGGTACGGGATCACATCGAGGTGAAACTTTGTCACTATGCCCGGAAACCCTGTTGGAGACAAGGTCGAGTTAGCGAAAATCATGGACAGGAATCCAAGCTGAGCATGCCTGGTCCAGCGCCACGAGCTGCCCAATATAGGTCCTGGTTCTGCACAGAATTGCAATGAATCAGATCTCCCTGGGCAGTCACCACATCCACCGCTTGCACTCGCTCACAGGCCCAACCCCAGTTCTGCGTCAAACAAAATCAATAATCATGATCGGGTTGAATCAGCACCGAATACTTACGCGACAGTTCCAACCCATTCCACCCTGAAGGAGGAACCCGCCAATGCCAACATCCGGACAGTGACCTCCAGGAAACATCAGCTCATGTTGATCGACCAAGACCGAGTTGATTTCTCTCCCAGTCATACTAGGCGATGCTATGGCCATCTTTCTTGCTGGGTCTACGTCCAAGAATTTGTAGTTCCCAAGGTCGATTAAAATCGAATTGTCACGAACACTCCAAGCAGCCCAGGAATGTCCACCAGAGCGAACGGCGACACGACAGTTGCGCTCCGCAGCCAGTTTGACTGCAGCCACAATATCATCCTCGCAGGTAGCCTTTACAACTGCGAGTGGGAATCGTTCAGGACGACGATGATTGAAGACGCGCCCGACGCGTGCCTCTTCATATGTTGCGTCGTCAGATGATTCACGCCAAATAATTTGCATGGTGGGCAGTCCAGAATGATAAGAATTGTGCAACATAGGAAAAGGGTAATCTGGTGGAATTAGCCAAGTTTAATAAAGTTCTGACGATCGTCACTGTGGAGGTTCTCATTTATTCCGCAGTTCGGCAGATGGGGAGAACCCCACAGAATGTGTGCTCTTCCCCGCCGGGTAAGACGTGGGGTAATGGCTCTTCGGGTATGGCCGTGGGGTAAGGGGCGAATTTTGTCCACTTCCCGAACGAAGGTGTCACATCGAACTATGAATATGAAAACTAGTCCAATAATACGTTTGTACAAGAGGCGCCAGAAACGTCAAATTAACCTCGTTGGCAGTTGGTTTGGCAGCTCAACTTTTCATAAGCGTTCAAGGCCCCCGACTTCCACCCATATGAATATTTATGAATATTTCCACCTACAATGCAGACTAAGTTAACAACTATTCGGCACGATGGCATCCAGGAAAACACATTGGGAAGTTTGCGTCTTCGGCATCATGAGACCAACGAGATCATCCTGATCCCAACCCCATCCAGGGATCCTAATGATCCCCTTAATTGGTAAGGCCCGTCCCTGTTTATGGCTAGCAGGCGTTAATAACACAATGCCCATATAAGGTCGCGGCCGTTTCGGTACTATATCGTTATTGTCGTGTGTTTGGCAGTTTTCTTCTGCAACTTCCTGGTGGCCGGTCCAACAGTTGCGATAGTGGAAACAACCGTGGACTTCCTAGGACCCAAGGGTCTCGATTTCAGTTCCCATATCTCGAAGATTGCATTTTTCTACAGTACGACTGCACTGTGTCAAGGAATTGGCATGTTTTTTTGGATGCCCCTGATTGTGAAATATGGCCGACGCCCTATTTATGTCATATCATTCATCCTCTACTTCGCCACTAGTCTTTGGTCGGGATTTGCCAGAACCTACGGGGTGGAGTTAGCAGGCCGCATCGTCATGGGCCTCGCTGCTGGAGCTGGCGAATGTCTCGGCCCTCTGACCATCGCAGACATATTCTTTCTTCATGAGAGAGGTGCAGTCATGGCAACCTATACTGCCGCGCTATCTATGGGTGCTGCAGGTGGGATTATTGTCGATGGTCTCATTATGATATCTCACGATTGGCGGTATATATACTATGTTGGATCTGCCCTCCTTGGTGCCGTCACAATTTTGGTAATCTTCACCTTTCCCGAAACCACATACAATAGGCACATTGAAGAAGCCGAAGTGGCTGTCCCCGATGATGGTCGCTTGGACAAGGCTGACCGTCTGGAGTCAACCTTGTCCGAATATCACGAGACTGTGGTCCATTCTGATCCTCGTGCAAAGAAAACATATATTCAGTCGTTACGATTGTTTCCTGGGACTTTCACGTCAGAGCCGCTATCTCGAATTTTCATACGCCCGGTAATCCTCATCATGCTGCCACCCGTTCTTTGGGCATCACTCGTCTTTGCTGTTACAATTGGATTTCTGATAGCCATCACGTCTAACTTTGCCACCGCATTCTCAACGGCATACAATTTTGCGTCCTGGCAGTCTGGGCTTTGCTTTTCATCCGGTATGGTCGGATCTTTCCTTGGAATTGCATTTGGGGGTCATATCTCGGATTGGAGTGCAGATTGGTTCACCCAACGCAATGGTGGCATTCGAGAACCTGAAATGCGTCTTCCTTCCATTTTCATCGGCGGCACACTTGCCCCGATTGCCTTGATCCTGTACGGTGTTGGAATCAACAACCAATTGCACTGGATGGTCCCCACACTGGGGCTTGGGTTGTTGAACTTTGCAATTGTACAGGCCACTAATGTGGCCATGGTATACGTGATCGACTGCTACAGACCTGCTGTCGGTGAAGTGACCGTTTCGATATTAGCGTTTAAAGGTTAGTATTCTCCAACTCACCGTCAAATGTTTCGATGCGAAAGGCTTGTTGAGTTCTGAAACTGACCATCTGCTTTAGCCGCGTTTGGATTTTTGCTCTCTTTTTACACAAACCCCTGGATTGACATGGAAGGATACAGCAAGGCGTTTGGGGAGATGGCTTGCATTTCTGGAATCATTATGCTTATGGGCCTTGTATTTTATTTATGGGGCAAGGGCATTCGACAAAAGACATGGAAATGGCGTCTTATGCGCAAATATGGCCACTGGGATACCGACCGTGAGGTTGGAGAATAGCAAGCTGGGGGCAGACTTCTTATATTCATTGATGTTTGTAAGCTTGAAGATAGTTCTCAACTTTAATTAAATAAAATATGTAGAAAAATCGATACTTGGGGTTACAGCAGCCGATTTGGGCCAAATTTGAGCACTGGCGGTCTAGAGGAGATGCTCGACGGCGCCCCGGGTCAGATGTTCTCTGTGAGCAATAAAACAGAAAGGGAAAGGTCTCGAGTACCAGGCATTAACCAGCACATATGCACTTAGGAGCTTAGAGCTTCTAAGTCTTCAGCCACAGGTACATTTACTTATGTCAACCACATACACGGGATGGGATACATCATATGCCAAAAGACCTCTAAGTACCACCCACCATAGAGGCCCGCAGAGATTATCACTCTCTCGCTCAAATATGGATCAAGGATGAGTTAATATATTTCCCTTGACATCTACACAAGGTAACACAGCAAAATATCATTCCACACCTCAAAATCGGAATAGATTATGTCTTCTCTGCATCACTATCTACACCACAACACAAAAGCTACAAAGAAGAGGCTTAGACCCCAGCACGCTCAATAGATGCACGAGAGCAGCTGCATGCCCGAAAGCAAGGCCATGAAAAAAAAGCAGAGAAACTTGGCATAAGAAAAGCCAGGGAGGCGAAGAGAAGACATAACTTCCCGCTCATCCCATGGCCATTGACATAAAACATGAAATGCAGGAAATATTGTAGACATTCAAACACGCACACACACATTGCTCATAGATTTGGGGATGAAGGAACTGAAACCAGAGTTCCAGTGAACGGTCATAACTGTCGTAAGGAGATGAGAAAGAAAAGGCAAAAGCGCTAGAGGGAAACGGAGATTGAAAATATCAACCCAGGGGTATCACAGTGCAAGTCTCAATATTGCTCATCTTCATAGTCGATTTGCGCGGGACTGCCTCGGTAGCGAGTGCGGTTGATGTTGCCCGGGCTGTAAGAGCCGGCAGATGTGAGGGGACGCGGGCCAGTTGGCTTGCGTGTGGGGGGAGAGCGGATAGCAGAGCTCTGGAGAGGACGGAAATTAGAATTTATTCACTTGAAAGGGTAGGAGGGAGCCTCTGGGATACATACTCTGGAAACAGCACGGTCGCCGCTGTAAGTTGGCTCCTCGTCATCTGCCACTTTGGGTGGACGCTCGGGAATGAGAGGGCCGGCGTCCTTGACCTTAGGAGGGCGGGGTGGACCCGTTGTACGGGTTGCGCGGGAACTGGTCTCCGAGTAGCCTGCGTCGGAGATCGGGGACAGACGCGTGGCACCGCTGACACCACTGTTGCGGTTTTGGGGAGGGTTGACCGCAGACAGGCTGGGGTTGGATTCCCATTGGTCTGAGCCAGTGGGAGAAATTGGACCTCCGTAGATCTTAGCCTCGTTTTCAAGGCGGGACTGGTAACGTCCGGTTGGGCCTTGTCGGGGCTGGGGGTGCTGCAGCTCGAGACTACCACGGTGGCCGCGGTATTTGGGCGCCTCGGACACCTGGGAAGGAACTAATGGCGAAGGGGGTCTGTTCTCATCTTGCTCGTCATCCAGGGTATAAGTGGATCGGATTCTGTCGTCTCCCTGTGGATCATAATATTTGTACTGGCCAAGGGGTGCAAGATCAGATCCGGATCGAGACTCGTCCGAGGTCGGACGTTCTTTGCGGGAAGGCTGGATGCTGTTGCGAATGCCATCGCCCATGGAGGTGGCCGTAGACTTAGACCAGCGGGAGATCTTCGGGAAAATGGACGAGCTGCTGGACTTGTGCTTGCGGGCCTTGGGAGTTGTCTCGGTGCTGCGAGCTGATGTGGCCACCGGCTTGCGTGGAGGCGTGTCAAGCGGCAATGAACCAGACCGCTCGTGATGGGGCGCATCACGGACAGGAAGATGGGAAGTCAGGAACTGGTCACCTTCGTCAAGCTCAAGGTCTTCGTCAACTTCATGGACGGTGCTGACTCGCTGGTCCGAATCTCTGCGCTGGCCATTGACCGGACGAGAAGAGCTAGACCCGTAGGGCGAGCGGCTCGTCTCGGTAGGTACTCCGTTTGGACCGGGAGTCTCGTATCCACTTGGCTCCATGCTTCCCATTCTAGTGCCACTGTGAGGACTCAAGCCATCTTGTCCGGATCGCAGGGCCTCAACCTCGCCAAGCAGCTGCTCGAGCATGCCTTCAATCTTGGTCAAATCACTGCCTGACTTGAGACTCAATCCCTTCAACGCACGCTTGAAGATGCTCTTGCGTTTGGCTTCCTCGTCAGCCGTGTTCAGCTGCCGATTCCGAGAAGCGCTGGGGGGCAATGGCCGGGGACCACCAAGCGCCTTGTGAGTCCGCTCATGTCCCCTGTCACTAGTGTCCATGATGAGATCATCTTGGTCGGCGATGAATCTCTTCATCTGCTCGAAGGAGGTGCGCATCTCAGCAGCACTTCGAACCAAAGTAACCAAAATCTCGGTATCTCTAGCATTCCGCTGGGCATCCCGAACAGTCAAATGATCCATAAGAGCCACAATGTCCTGAGACTGAATTCTCTCGATACCTCGGCCAGTGGCACTGTCGTAGAGTGGCGAGCCAACTCCGTGAGAGTAGCCACTGAAGTGGCGTTCATGACCAGAGGCAAAAGGATCGTCAGCCCCAGCAGGACTATCGAAACTACCCATTCCAGCGGCATCCGCGCCCACAGGACCTCGACTACCTTGCTTCGGGGTACCGATGCTAGGAGACATAGGATTGGCAGCCGAAACATAGCCTTCATCCTTGGCACCAGGAGGGGTACCGAACAATGGCCGGGGTTGGTTATCGCCAGAGTGGGCAGAGTAGTCATCGCCACCAAAGATATTCTGGGCGGTCTGGTAGTATTCCGCATCAAGGCCTATCTGCTGCTCGGCATTAAGACCCTTAGATCCACCGATCTGGGTATCGTAGTAGTGATCCGCTGGCGGAGACCTAGAATCATATCCCCAGTGATCTGCCTGGGCGACACCACCAATTGGGCCCTGTATAATGGACGGATTCGTATTGATTTCAGACTCTGATTCTTGGCTTTCGGCATCCGCGTGAGGGCTTTCCATTTCACGCGGAAGATTGGCAGCCATCATAGCAGAGTCGTTTATGTCCTCGACAGACTGGGTAACACTCTGAGGGGGTGATGTTGCACCCATGCGTCGAGGGAACGAGGTCTCATCGGCATTGAAAGCATCCTGGCGTTGCTTCAAGGGGCTTCCGCGGTGGACTTCACTTCCTGTCTTCTCAGGGCTTCGGCTGCCCGGTCGTTGACCCAGATCGGTTTGCGAGCGGTTCGTGGATGAGATCTGAGACTCAAGGACAGAGGGATCCATCAAGGAAGCAACGGCGGATTCAACGGCCATCGGGTGCATAAATTTGGGATTAGCAGCAATGCCGGTAGTCACAGGCTGGGCTTCTTTGACTTTGTCCATGAAGTCAACCTCGCTATCTCCGTCGTCGACAGAGCGCCTACTCTCCTCGTCATAGCCATAGAAGCCATTGTCTTGGGAGCCTTGGCGCGAGTGTTCGTATCCGAGCCCAGGTGATTCCTGGCTGTGCTGCTTGAAAATTCCGCTTTGACTGTGTGAGCTGGTGCCCTGACGGGTGGACCTCGCGAGGTTGGTACTAGGAGCAGATGACAGAGAGTCAATGGAGAGTCGAGGCTCAATCTCATTTTTGCCGTCGACGTGTTGCTCGCCGTGAGCCGAGTAATGGTCGTGGTGAGTCTCGGTATGGTCACTTGCCAAACTCTGAATTGGGCTCAGTCCACGGCTGGTGCTTTCATCGTAATAGTCACCTTCCCTTTCGTGATGCCCGGGTTGGACGGCGTCAAGGAGATTGGCCGCAGCTGCAGCTGCAATTTCCCAGTTACCACTGTCAGTTCCAGGAGATTGGCTCTGGTGATGCAGGTCACGCTCCGAAGTACTGTGCACCGAGATATTATGGTGTGACTGATTGCCATGGCGCATTCCGAGCTCATAACGCGAGTCGACCGAATTTCTAGTAGGAGTGCGAGAAGCCGGGGACATGGCCTGCCTCGGTGAACCGCGAGCAACGTCAAAGTAGGAGGCCTGCTTTTCGGGAGTGGGACTTGCCGTTCGCTCAGAGAGCAACGAGTTTCTGGTCAACTCAGAGTCGATCTCGCTGTGCATTGGCATTGGCGCAACATTGTGCTTCTGGAAAACAAGTTCGGTTTCGTTGTAGTTCATACTCTCAGTGCTCTTGCGTGAGGCACTTTTCCGGGAGTCACTATTTCGGCGGCGCTCGTTTTTGCCGAGACTCGAGTTGGAGTTGTGGTGTTTCAAAGAGGCCGCCGTGAGAGCAGAACCGACTCGGGCAGCAGCATGGGCGTCGCGAAGACCCTTGCTCCTCTGTCTGCGGATCTTGTCTTGCTCGGTGTAGTCAGGTCGATTTGCCCATCTCACCGCCATGTCGGAGCTTTCGCTGCTTTTGCTTGATTTGCGCTCCTTGTTGCGTGGAGCCGTCTCAGGAGAAAGAACAATGCCTTCGTCTTTGCTGTCCTTGTTCAGGACAACTTTAGGCTTCATGACATCTGGCGCACTGGCGTGCTTGGAGAGGCGTCGACCTAACTCATCTCTGGAGCTCGTGCCAGACGAATAAGATGTAGCCATGTCCCGGTCAAATTTACTCGTGTTGGTCATGACTTTTTGATCCTTCTTGAGCTCCTTTAACTCTGGTAGGATCAATCTCCTGATCGCATCTTCAACCGTCTCGAGTAATTTTGGGTTGTTGATAGAGGACTTGGATGCACCGGAGCGAATTGAGTACTGATCAGACTTGCGGTTTGAGGAGACTGCAGATGTGCTGAGAAGACTAGATGCAGGACTGATGATATCCTCGTCCGCATACTTGTGCCTTCGGCGACGGGATGGTTTTGTTTCGGCTTCGAGGTAATCATTGCCGCCCTTACCGTTGTGCTTGCCGCTCGAAGCATCTTGTGGTGATTCTGCAAGCTTTTCTGCCACACGA